GCTCTCTATGTCCCGCCCGCATAGTAAGCAGACTTCTCTGCTATAGAGACGCCGGCCCTTCAACCAATCTGTTAAATACGCGATATCCACATTCGATTATCCTCGCGACACACCCTCCGACGGCTCACCAAGCTGTAAGAGGGACCTGAGAACGCATGGTAAGTCCGTGTATATAAAGCACGTCTTCCATTTACATTACAAAATAATAAAATTATTAACAAATAAAACAATAAATAAGCTCTTTCGTTCTGTGTATGTACCTTAAGCTTAGTTAATGTCCGTCATCATAAAATATTTCAGCCGCGGGGTCGGGGTCGGAGGGCATCCGTCCCCTCCCCCCGCGGCAGTCCACATTCCAGACAGCACGACAACAAAATAAATAATTAATATAAAATAAAATATAGCATAAAAATGTAGTCCGTCATCTAAAAATATATCAGCTGCTGGCGCGACGGTGGAGCACATCCACCGCCACCCCCGCGGTAGTCAATAGATCAGAGGACGGACAGATAAATAAATACATGGATAAGTAGATAAATAAATAAATAAATAAATAAATAATACACTAAAATAAATGTATATAGGTCATAATTTATTTTTTGTTGCAGGGACACCTCTCCAGCCGGTGGCCCCACGCGACATACATCCGCTCGAACATTTATATCTCCGCCGCCTCGTCGGCTCGCGGGCCAGCCACACGGCGGCAAATCGGCTCGGTGTGGAGGAGCCCTATACTGGCGGACGCCAGAGACGTGCTCCACGTAGATGTCCCTGGACCAGCGTATGGTGTCCGACACGATGAGCCTGCGCATCATGGACGCATACGTACTGCCGATACGCAGCAGCCTCAGCACAGGTTCATTGCGCGGATCCCAGGAGCCGAGCGCACCGACGACGAAGGCCGTCACGACGACACGGTACCCGAGTCGACCGAGCGCTTCCGCCAAGGGAGCGTACTTAGCGAGTTTACGCTCCCTAGCTTCCTCGAGCGCTATTGACCGATTCTCGAATGGCACCGTGACATCGCATATGACGACACTCTTCGACGGCTCGTGCCTGATCACGAGATCAGGTCGTAGCTCGCCGAGTTCCCCATCGATGCCCTCGACCCGCTGGTTCACGGTCACGTTCCCTGGCAGACGGCAAGCCCTGCTGAGTCGGAGCAGGATCAAATCGTGACGCCACTGGATCGCGGCGGAGTGGGGTCCGCAATGACAGACCACATGAGGAAGGGTCTCAGACTCCGCCCCGCATCGCCGGCAACGTCTATCACCCTCTCCCCACCGACGTGCACCGTTCAACGGCAACACGTCGAGACGAGCACGGTGGATAAAACGCCAATCAGCGAAGCGGGTGAAGCTGCCGCCCCACATAAAGTGATTGCTCACTCGATGACGAGACGACACCTCGAACACCTTCCCCTGGTCTGGTTTCCACGACAAGGTGGTATCATACCACTCCGCTACCGCAGCACGCAGGCGTCCGATCACCTGGGCACGAGCCTCAGGTGGGATCTTGGTGATCCTGCCCCGCGGACCGCGACATTGAAGGACGAACTCGCGGCGCTCCTCGCTCCACAGCCACCGGATGGCGCAGCGATTCGACTGATGACGCGCGGCGTTCCGCGCTCTCGACCACAGGGAGCGCTCCCCTCCCCCCTCAGCCTCCCCTCGAGTGACCCCGAGAGAAAGGCGGCGATCTGGTCGCAACCAGGGGGTGGCCGATGCGGCGTGCAACCACTCCCCGCAGAGACGCCCAAGCCAGGTCCCTGGCCGCGCGGTCGTCCGCCGTCAAAAGACGGAAGACGTGCGCGACTGAGAGGACGTCGGCGAGGTCAGCTAGAGGAAGTAGCCCATATCCCCCCTTGCGAGGGGGCATGTAGACCACTTCGGCGCTCGCTCTCTGCGGGAGGTTGAGCCACATCTTACAGGACCTGCGGATCTGCAGGTCGAGCTCCTTGAGGGGGCCCTTCTCCACTGCGACTCCCCGCAGCAAAAAGTCGAGCCGCGGCAACAAAAAAGTCGCCACGGTCTCAGTGTTCTGCCACGGGGCGAGGAGAGAACGGTCGACCGACGCCAAGTCGTCACGTAGCACCCTAATGGCAGCATGCGGAGTCTGGTTGACCCCGAAGCCCGTCGGTATGCCGAGGTGCTCATAGGCCTCGCCCTCGGCCATTGCACGGACCGGTTGGCCCTGGATCCGGAGAGTCGTCGGTCGGACCCTGCCCGCTCCGCCTGCACCGATGTGCAGGGTGGCGCATTTGGCAGGGTTGAACCGCAACACGACCGACGATGCCTCGTTCACTGCGACTGCGAGCAGTCGTTCCATTTCGTCGGGCGTCCTGGAGACCAGTACCAGGTCATCTGCATAGGGCATTACTGACCACCGCGAGTCCAAGAGCTCGACCCCGAGACCGACAACCGTGACTGCACGCAGCACGGAGTCGATCGCGAGGTCGAACATGATCGGACTCAGCGGGCATCCCTGGCGTACGCCCGAACGAATCTGGATGGGCGCAGTGAAGCCGTCGGCGGTTCGCACCCGCGCGGTGCAACCATCGTACAGCGAGCCCCATACGGCGATGAGGCCCGCTGGCGCGCCCGCGCGAATCAGTGCGCGGCGGATCGCCCCGTAGGGAACCGATCCAAACGCGTTGGAAAGGTCCAGCCACGCGACTACCACCTCCCTGCGGCTCCTCCGAGCATCAGTCAGGATCTCCTGCAGGACGAAGTTGTGCTCAAAGCACCCCTCGTCCCTTAGGAATCTCTTCTGAGCCGGACTTCCCGCCGACCACGCACCACTCGGTAATGTGATCGGCCAACACGGCGGCGAAGAGTTTGGGCAGAGTATCCCCCAACGCGAGAGGACGCCAGTTATTAATATTACCGCGGTCACCTTTCTTATACACCAATATCGTGTTGGAGGTCTTTCAGACGACAGGAACCGCCTCGAGCCGCAAACATGCGTTGAAGAGGGCGACGAGCAGCCGCGCCGATGGATCCGCTGCACGGAGGTCCTTGTAGGTTATGCCATCGGGACCCGGCGCAGAGTTATTCATACGCCGGAGCCGACGACACACCTCTCGCTCCGTGAACGGCTCCATCAGCGCCGCCGCACCGCCGTCCCTGCCCGGGGCGTCGACTCGCTCCGCAGGCTCGGCACCCCGCAGGTAATCCCCTCCACGATACAGCTCTTCGAAGTGCGCCTGTACCACGTCAGTCGGCAGATCGCAGACCTCCGCGGGACCGGCTAACACCTTTCGAACTGCCCTGCGTCGGTTCTTCCTGAAGAGCGCCTGTATTCGCGCTGCTTCGTCCTGTTCCAGCCGTCTTCTCCGAAAAAATCGGGGACATTGGCCGGCGCCAATTCCCCCTGACGGCCACCCTCTCGCGCGTCCCTCTCCCCTCGCCGCTCCTCGTCGGCCTCACGCAACCGGCGTGGTGGCGGTCGACGAGCGCGCGGCGCGCCACGCCCTGGCCCGCCTCCCCCGAAGAATCCGGCGACCTGAATCGCCAGATCTTCGAGCTCAGCGAGCGTCGCCACGGAATCCGCCGTGTCGACGAGCCGCGTCCTCTCGACAGCGAGCTGACGCCCCGTCCGTCTCTCGACGTTCGGCGCGACATCCCGCGCGTCTCGAGGACCGCGCGCCACCATCGGCGGGTTTCGCGGCGCCCTAGCGAGTCGCGTCGCGCCGCCGCCCGCGCGGAAACCCGGAGCCGCAGTCACCCGAATCGCATCCGGACGCGCGTCGACGGACGCGGATGCTCCCCGCCGACCCATCACGCCGCGGACTCCACGTGGACCGGACCCGTCTCCGGCGTTTCCCTCGCCAGTATCTCGCGCGCGTGTCTCCTCCACCCTCCGAACCGGCGGCGTCCCTCCGCCTCGCGCCGCGCCCGCCCCCGCAAGCGGGGGAAAATTCGCCTCCGTGAGGGGCGGCGGTTCGAGTGTCGCCCAGGAATCCGCGCTAGTGGCCTCTTCATCCGACGAGCGTACGCGCGCGCGGCGCGCTCTTCGCCGCGCGGACTTAGGGGTGGCGACCGTCCACGGGCCGCCACCGTCGGCACCCTCCTCGTCGCCGCCGTCCCTGCCACCCTCGTCCTCCGTGTACAGAGCGGCCGGCCTCAGCGAGGCCCCCGCCCTGCGCGGCCGCAAGGTCATCCTTCTCGGAGGGAGGCTGTTGCTCTTCTTCCTTGCTCCTCTCCCCTCCGCTGGGCTAGTGGTCGTCCCTGCTGGTGTCCTTTGCCGCTCATCGGCCGCCGCTGGGGACGTCTCCGCCACCGGCTGAACGCGGGGCCAAGGGGGCGAGGAAATAACGCCCCGTGCACCCGCACCCGGGAGCCCGGTCGACATGATCGGACTCCCCGCCGTGGAGACTGTTATGGTGACAGTGGTGAGGGTCGCCACCGTCCTTGAAACGGGCGCGCATGGCGTTTGAATGCCAGCCAGGCCCCCCGGGGATGCTCCGTAGGTGGTCGGCGGAGTCCCTCCGAGGGACCTTGCGCTCGAGAACGAACCGCCGCCCGACGAGGATGGTGTCTTTCTCGTCGGGACGGCGGTCGCCTCGGCGTTGCACGCCCGCCGGGTCGGCTCCACGGAGCTACGCCTGGGAGTCCTCCAATTGGCCGCCGTGTGGCCTATTTCGGCCACCGGCGGGCGCTGTTCGCCTTGCACCTATGTCGGTATTCATAGTCAGGTCTTATTTTTAAGACCGTCTTAAGTTCACTTTCAGATACTCCATAGCCAATGAAATGATTTGTACAACATCTGAAGATAAACTTAAGACGGTCTAAAATATAAGATCGCTCACGCATGCGCACAAACGCTTTCGCATGGGAAAAATTCCCACGAGTTGCATCACTGGAGCTAGAAACCGCACGTTACCTTCATTGCTGTTTCATTCTTCTGTTGACGTCGGTTGTCGAAGAGTCTAGTCGTGTTCTTGTGGTTCATTTTGCAACATGATGTAAGTATATCATCGTGTGGAATATTCGCGATCTTGCATGCAAATGCAATCGTTTCGCCATAGGCAAGCTTGTTGAACTTTTATTATTGACGAGAACATATTATTTTTGGCTAGAAGTTACTTTCAGTGCGACATAACGATCAACGTATATAGTCACGTGCATCAAAAACAGAGTTTGTTAGCAATAGATTCTCATTATGATATAAAGTTTAATAAGTTGGTCATAATTGTAGTACGTTTTTAAGATTAAACGTTTCCAAATTTCGCTAAATTAGATGTTTATTCACGTGAAATTGATTGTAAAATTATAGAGGCAATTTCCATGTATCCTGCTTTGTGCTAACTTATTTCAATCGGGTTGCAGGTCCAAGATTTCCCGCGATACCCAGTATGAGTGCGTAAATGCAGTCATACAACAATTCCAAGACAAGAAAAGGAAGTTTTTGGAGACAGTGGAGCTTCAAATCGGATTGAAGAACTATGACCCACAAAAAGACAAGTGGTTTTCAGGGTCTATAAAATAGTTTTCACCTGATTTTGAGTCTTTTTCTCAGTTTCTCGGAGTGAGGATATTACAGATATTATATCTCTCACTGAGAATCCTGTTAAAAATGCTTCATGATTCAGGGAGCTGGGTGGACCTGCACCCAGGGTCTTAAATAAATATTTATACCATTATTTAAATTATATAGGATCACAACTCATGATCCTATTGGTAAGTTGTACGCATCTTTGCATATATGAATGTTGCAATCCCGATTATATATATCCAATTCTTTGTCTGATACTTTTTTTTAACGTATGTAATAAACTGGTAAAACATATTAGATCCATTGTTCTATCCAACTTTCTATGATGTTTAATTTATTGCATGTATTATCTGAATATTTTATGTGGCAATACATATGATACTGAGAGAATGTTGAAATATTAGATATAGTAAGAAAAAAATGAAATGAATTATTCAAATGTTATGTATTAAGGAAGACAAGACATATGTTTATTTAAACTTTAATCATTGTTAAATTATTATATCAGGTTGAAAAACATTCCCAAGCCTAAGATGCAGGTTTGTGTTCTTGGAGATCAACAACACTGTGATGAAGTTAAGGTTAATAATATTCTATATATGGATGCAGAGGTGCTCAAAAAACTAAACAAAAATAAGAAACTTGTAAAGAAGTTTGGTATGTTGGTTACTCATTTTAATGTTTAATATTAATTGATTCCTTCTTAAAAGCACCATCATTATGTATCTTGTGAACAATGATGGCCGTCAAACAAGAAGGATAGTAAAAGTCTTCACTAGGTGAGGGCGATGTGTTTGGTAACATTTGCACCTCAATCCGTGTTGATACACTTGCCTGATTTAAAAAAGATTTTGACTTTTATATTTATTTATTTTTCCATGCATCGAAATGCATTTCACACAAATGTTTCATAGGAAATTATTAAGAAAGAAGCCAAAAGGGAGTAATCATTATTAGGTATTGCGAGTTACTGTGAACCCTTTCAGTATAACAAACACTGATTAATAGAAAAATATAAGGAATATAACTTCATGTGCGCATAAAATGCTGTGTAGCTGAAATTATTTGATACATATTTATATCCTTTTTACAGCAAAGAAATGACATGTTTCTGGCCAGCGAGTTGTTGATCAAACAGATCTCACGGCTGCTTGGCTCCGGTTTGAACAAGGCTGGTAAATTCCCTGAATTATTGTAGCACCAGGAGTCAATGGTTGGCAAAATCGATGAAGTCAAGGCCATCATTAAATGAAAAGGTAATATGGTTTCCCTACGACTTTTTTACCTAATCAAAATTGTGATTATTGCTAACATTGCTTTCTGTTTTGCAGGTGTTGTGTCTGTTGGTGGCAGTCGGACACGTTGAGATAACATCCAATGAGTTGGTGCAGAACGTGCACCTGTCGATAAACTTTCTCAGTTCTCTGTTGAAGAAACACTGGCAGAATGTCTGTTCGCTGCATATCAAATCGTCCATGAGACAGTCACAGTGATTATATTGAGTTACATTTAGTGTATATGGTAATAAAAATGGAAGTCTTTGAATTTTTTTTTTTTTAATTGAAAAAGCACCAATTGCAGATGAAATTAAGTTTATTCTTCTTCGGAGAACTTTGAAATTTTTGAACTGGTATGCAGGGTGTCGTTCCATTTTAATGTCCCACCCCAAATAACTCTTCAGTATTGAAGTTTCAAGGAAAATGATTTAAATAAAGGTTGTGGGGATTTAAGAGAGCTACCTTACGATTCTGACCTTGACCTTTATTTTCAAGATCATTTGAAGGTCAACTTGCGTTTTTTAAATGGGAATCCTTATTTTTTATTACACTTTTTTCTACTAGTTAATTTAAACAACTTTTGTCTAAAACATTTTTTTATTTGTCTAATATTTTTTGAGATATTTGTGGAAAACTTGATAACTTTTTCAATATTTAACTTACGATATCTCGCTAATTATTTGTCGGAAGAAAAAGTGATGCTAGACTTTCTTGCTTTATTTAGTCTCAAGAATATATTGTTGCAATAGCGCCCTGATTTTTGTTAATTTGATGATTTTGAAATTTCCAAAAGTCAGTAAGTTAACAAAAGTCAGGGCGCTATTGTAACAATATATTCTTGAGACTAAATAAAGCAAGAAAGTCTAGTACTTTTTCTTCCGATAAGTAGTTAGCGAGATATCGTAAGTTAAATATTGAAAAAGTTATCAAGTTTTCCTCAAATATCTCAAAAAATATTGGGCAAAGAAAAAAATGTTTTAGACAACAGTTGTTCAAATTAATTGGTAAAAAAAACAGTGTAATAAAAAATAGAAGTTCCCCTTTAAAAAATACAAGTTGACCTTTAAATGACCTTGAAAATAGAGGTCAAGGCCATTATAAGGTAGCTCACTTAAATCCCTACGACTTTTATTGAGATCATTTTCCTTGAAACTTCAATACTGAAGAGTTATTTGGAGTAGGACATTAAAATGGGACATCCTATATACTAGTGCAGAAAGTGCAAAGAATGAGAAAATATGGGTCTATTCTTTATAGCTGCACTGTTGAATTAGTACAATAAGTTAGAATGAGAAAAAATAGTCTCATTTTATATCCTATATACCTGCTTCACTCAAATTCATTGCACTGATTTAAAAGTCCTGCGAAAAGGAACGAACTCATTTATTGAACAATTGTACAACCGTTTTGTTAACTAAGCCAATAGGAGACCTCGCTACGGGGATAAAAATATCGCTAAAGAGAAACCCTAGGAAACAAGCACGCTTATTGGTCATCGATCCTTACGTGATCATCACTGTAGTTCCCTATTAGCCTGAAACAATTCATGTAAGTTAGGTTGTTTCAACCCCTTGGTAAGTTAACTGATGGTTAAATCATATATGTCTGTCTTCGTTTAAATTGAAGGAAAAACAAAGATAAACGTATGATTTAATTATCAGTTAACTTACTTAAGAAGTTGTAACAACCGGCCCGCGTAAATCAGTCACCTAGTAGAATTTAAATAAAATCAACTGTTGGCAATCCTGCCTGTTATTTAGCTGTTGGTCTTCCGGCCGTCCCCTCGGTCGTTCATTTCCGTCTCCCACAGCGGCGGACAAGTTTGGGGTAGTCCGTTATTTCGCTTACCTGATTGGGTTGTAGTCGCGAAGGGACACGGTATCTCGCTGGACTCGTGACTGCCTGCGCGCTCGTTTTAGCGTCCACGGCTAACCACGTGGCTCTACGTCGTAGCGTCGGTCGTTTCATCGAGTTTTAACGCGCGTTCGTCGGCACAGTAGCAGCACAATGACGGATAATCGTGAGTATAAAATGATAATATTGTTACAGCGCGCGTGTGTACAGAAAATTCTCGCGTTAATCTCGGCGATGCTCAGCGATGTTTGCGAGATTTTTGCCAAACCGAAGACGCACTCGGCTCCGAGAAGCCGAGAGCAAATGGCTTGCTACGTTGTGACTCCGTCGTCGTCGGCGGCGGTGATTAAGAATAAACATGGCGACTATCGAGAACATGGGGGACTCCAAATAATGCTCGGAGCAATCGCGATTACGAACGATGAATAAGCTGTCGGTTTTGTATACGTGGCGAATTATTCAGACTATTGTAACAGATCTTTTTACACACGTTTGTTGACAGTCCGTAAATTTTTGGAGTATAACATTCCAAATCCTTTTTATATTTGTGTTTTCTTTTTCTTTAGCGCCGTCTTTTATTTTACATTTTTGACTGATGAGCAGATATGCATACTAAACAATATACGAATATAATTCAGTGTGTAAACAATTGCAACGCAAATCAAAACAAATCGGAAATGAAACACTATTGATCATTAATGTTGCGTTATCAAATATTTCCAGAGTATTCTAATTACCAACAACAAGGGTATAATCAGTACAGCCAACCACCACCTTCGGCTGGCCAGGATACGTCATATCCACCACCCACAACCGGTGGAAGTGGCTATAATCAGTATAGCCAGCCTCCCCCGAGCACTGGCACCAACTATGGCACCAATTACAACAACTACAATTCCAACACTGGCCAGGATTACAATACGCCGCAGAACCAAGGCAACTATGGGCAAAATAACTATGGCGGTGGTAACACAGGCAGTGGTAGCGATGGTGGTAACAATTATGGTGGAAGCTATGGACATGGCAATAGCAGTAGCAGCGGTGGTGGTAGTAGCGGGGGTTACAATCGTAACAACTCTGGTGGTTACAGCGGAGGTGAGCATCCCTTCTGTATCTTTAGCGATCATAGAGTATCAAACTTTTCAGCATTGCCAACGAGCGTAATCCCCTGCAAGCTGTGTACTATCGCTTGTTTATATACATTACCGCATTAAATTTTTCAGGCCAAGGAGGTGGTGGCGGTGGCGGTAGATACAGCGATCGCGGAGGTTACGGAGATCGCTCCGGCGGTGGTTACAAGTAAGTTAATTTTCAAAATATTTCCCATACACATAATCTGTGAAGCGCGACAAGTGGGGAGCGACGACAAATTCCCGAAAACAATGTTAAAATTAAAGTCAACAGCCGCCACATTCACGGTAAACGAGTCTTGTGTTGAAGCGAGCCAAAGGTATGCAATGAAGTTCTTAACGCCAGTAATCTGGAAACTTGTTGTATCATTACGAAACGGTGTTTGTGCCCAATCGGGCGTTAATATAATTGAAGTGTGCCTACAGGTTTAACAGACAGGTTTAACAGAAGTAAAAGAGGTAATGAAACAGGTTGTATGTGACGAATGACGTAAAAAGGTTGTAATGTCGACACTCTATCCGCTGGTTCTGGTATAATATAATAATCGCAACAACAACAACAAAAAAGAAAAACACAACACATAACATACGCGCGCGCTCGCGTGCGCACATACACACACACGTGTACACACGTGTGTGTGTGGCGCGTTTACTCACACAAGAGGTCTCGAGTGGATCGAGACTGTAAAAAAAGCGGTTGATGTCGCGCCACTGTGGCCACTGTTGTAAGCCTTATCTCTCTCTATTAGGTATCAGATAATAATACGATTAGGCAATTTACACATGGCAATTTAAAGTCTAAACCTGTTAAGAGATTACAGATATTATCGGACTATTGCTCTTGCGTAGGCTTTTTTCCAAAAGAAAAAGAATATTTGGTAAACGTAAGTTTTTCGAGAAAAAAGGTGGGAATACACAATGTGTTGTTGTTTGCCTTGAAACAATACGCATACGCATTCGTGCGCGTTGTTGCACTCCTATCCGGCATCGCACCGGTATTTTTTCCGTTATAATTCACCCAAAAAAAAAAGTAATTTCAGAACAAGCGGAATCATCTAAATTTTAGAGAATTTTATTTTTATATATGGCCTCAAAAGGATTCCTCTAAAATTAAGAGGAAATATTATAAACAAATTATTCTTAAAATTAGGGGGATTATACGTTATATTTATAATGCAAATATTATTGATTTTCATATAAATTTCCTCTTATGTGTTATTTAATCTTTTTTAAGAGGATTATTATTTTTTTAAGAAGATTATTATTTTATATTTTTACTGTATTTTATTGTTGCTGGTTACACTAGTTAATTTGAAAAAAATTGTCATAATGTAATAGCAAAGAATAATATATACATAGATGTACTTCTGGCTCCTCTATTCTACAATAAGTAGGCACGAATTAAATAAGATCATCATGACAAATAAATTTCCAATCAGTTTTGTTATGGACTTCATAGCTACAAAGATGTCCATCATTTGCATGACCAATTGTATGAAACACGGTTAAAAGAAAGAATATATTATTCAACTTCTTGCAATAGATTATAAACTATATTTGGCCAAATATGGATAAATTATCTTCGTTATATGTTACAGCAACACATATCTTTTTTAAAAAACATTCCAAATATTCTGACCCATGAACATTATTTTTTCATTCATGTCTGGAGATAGAATATAACTGAACAAAAGAAGTCGACATTCAAATCAACATATTCCTCTTCATACAAGAGGAAAATTAATTGATATAAGAAATCTTGAAATAAGAGGAAAACAGAATAACATTTAGTCAATTTTAGAAATGATTCACTTTAATCGCTTTATCGAAAGAGGAATCCTTTTTCTGCAAAAGCTTCGGTTTTTGCAGAATATGAGACTATGGGAGAAATCACTTTACAAATAGAATACTTTTTTGGGTGTTCCGCTGATAATTAACCCGCGACGTGTCGCTTCCTTGCCGAAGAGAACTCTCTCTGTGCATTTATTCGTGTAAAAAAAAAAAAAGAAGAAAAAATATTTGCGCGTCGACTTTGTACCTTGTGCTTATATGTAGATTTTCACGTCCCGGCTGGATCTCTTAAATGCGGGTAACGTCGCTCACTGATAAAAAAACGTTAGCTCCACACAAGAGTAATCTCTTTCCTGTTTTTTTTTTTTCTTATTTTTCTTTTCATTCGTACATCATGGGAGAATACTCCGGTGAAGCACGAAGTGGCCGCGCGTCTCCCCCGTTCCCCCTTCCCGTGAGTCGAGAAATTCACGTGGAGATCCGTTCCATTACGATGAAACACTTCGTCAATTTTCCTTTTGGAGCTTAACTTTGTCGCTGTCGTTTCCCACGTGTGCGAAAGAAAGTCCAACAGAAAAAGAAGAACCCGAGTATAATCTTTCTCTCTTTTTCCTCTCTCTCTCTTTCTCTCTCTCTCTTTCTCTCTCTCTCTCTCTCTCTCTCTCTCTCTCTCTCTGTCTACCTTTCTATCTCTTTCTCTCTCTCTCTCTCTCTTTTCCTCTCTTTTCCTCTCTATCTCTGCATGCTGAGAAAAAACGGGACCGACGGACGTGACTTTACGCGGGACCGGCCTAAGTGCAAAATCATAATATATAATACGGTGACTACACATGACATTTAGACAAATAGGTACATCAAGAAGAAAGGTGGCGAGCGGCATATGATTCGCCATGCATCGATCGATCGATCACGGTCCATGAATCAACTCACAATGGTATATCTGCTTCTGTGTTTTAGCAGTGGCGGTGGCCGTGGTGGTTATAACAAAGGTAAATGCACCAGACTGTCTGTACTAGTCTGGTGCTATATTCTAGCTTTCACTCTACTATTTACGATCCTAAATACTCGGTTATACTCGATATACGTAATTATATGAAAGGGCTGCTATGCAACATTCTCAGGGAAGCGCATACATATATATATATATATATATATAATGATGATGATAATGATATATATCTGTTCATCTGTGTATCTATTTATTTATCTGTCTGTCTATCTCTCTCTCTCTTCTTCGATCTCTGCCTCTTGCGAGCTCACAGTCGCGGATCAGTGGCAATTTGATGACCGTGATGACGATTCGCACACGGCGCTTTTCCGACGCGACGCAAGCGGAACGATATTCAGTGCGAGTGTTGAAAAAAGAAAAAAAAAGAAAGAAAGAGTAAAACGAAAAGCGTGTAATCACACAAGTTGTTTTCTTCTCCTTTTTTTTTCACTCTTTTTTTTCCTGCTCCACGAATGACGACGCCCGCGTGGTAAAAGTGTTGTGATCTTACAAGCAGGATATATTTCTCGCGCGCGCGAAGACGTTGCGCCTTCCGAAGACGTTGCATTTACATTATAAACCTAACCGGGAAAGTACCTTGAAAAATACGGTAGAGTAACTAACACACGGTAATTGTGCACCACCCCTGTAAAATGTGGGTTTTTTGGTATCGTCGTTTTTGGTATTGTCGAAAAAAGTAAAGAGGACAAACACATAAGAGGCAGCTAGTGAGAGCCACTTGCCGATCGGGCCTTTGAGGGGTAAGAAAATGATGTTGCAGCCCTTTTGTATGCTCAGCTGCAACTTTGTGTTCTGTATGTATATCGTTAGGTGTTAATGGCAATGTTAGACCACTAATAATGCAGTTGCGAGTGACACGATGCGAGAAGAGAGAACAGAAAAAAAGAAAAGAAAAAAGTATCAAAGACCGCAGAGTGGGTGAGGTCATTCGAGGAAGTTGAAATTGCGTGTAGGGGGAAAAAACGGGGCTGTGGGGAGAGCAGAGTGGAGAGCGGAGGGAGTTGTGCGTCTCGAGAGAGAGAGCTTGTGGAGAGTGGAGAGGGGAAAAAAGCATTGCAATGAGCATTACTGTGCCCATGTGTAGCGATGGTAATGACGATGATAGCGTATAGACACGTATTTAGCCGCTAAATATATTCTGTAAGCCTCCCTCGCGCGGCGGTGCGTCGAGAGAAAGAGAAAAAGAAAGCGTCTCTCTTGCTTCCCGTCGCTGGACGTAGCACTCGATTCACTTATTCAAGTCGGATCACAACTGTCGAGTAGATTCACAAGTAGAACGTGACAGCCAAAAACGAAGCCGGTCTCGTTCGTCTCTTCCGCTTCTGCTCGCGTTTCCAAAAGCAGGGACGAGTTAGTAGCGCGCGATAAAAAATCGTGAGAAAAAAGAACAGAGCACTGGGAAAGAGTGTGGGAAGACCAACACCTCTCGTAGAGCACAGCTGACGTTTTATCAGTATAGAAAAAAAAAAGAAAAAATCTTACGAGTTTTTTTGGATAATGTCGAAAGAGTCGTACGCCACTCGCACGAGTGTGCGAGGGAAAAAGATATACGGAAAGGGCCGTGTTCGCTCGTACAGAGTTGAGAAAGTTTCAATTCAGTCGTACTTCCTCTCTTTCGTGCCGCCAAAAATGCACGTAAGATCGATCGGAGAAGCGCAGTTAGGGGAAAAACAGAGAAAGCCTTCTCTCGCCCTTAGAGTCGACAAAAAGAACGGTTCCTCCGCTCGTGCGACACGCTCGATCGTGACGTCGGAGAGAGTATTGTGTACTTCCGAGAGACTTTCCTTGTATCTTTAGATTAGGGTAAAAGTAGTAGCTCCAGGATCGGTAGATATGCGAATATTTTTATTCCCCTGTGCATTCGACGTGCGACGGGTCTTGACTTTGGGTCCATTGCAGGGGGCTACAGTGACCGCGGCAGCGGAGGAGGTGGTGACGGAATGGTTACGCAGGAAGATACTATTTTTGTATCTGGTATGGATCCGTCGATTTCCGAGGAAGAGATTTGCCAGCACTTTGGAGCGATTGGCGTTATCAAGGTACGGATATCCTTTTTTATTTGGCTGATGAAATCAAGTGTTTGACATCAACCGTCCAGGCTCCTGCTTCTTTTGCCGTGCAACTGCCACTTGAGGATGTCAGAAGCGAGGAAACACACTCTAAGAATTCCTGCAGAATACGTTGAAACGAAAAGACGTACTTATAGAATGGATCTCACCATAAAGAATTAATGTGACACCAATCTTGTCTTTTCTCATGATGTCGTCACGTTCACCCAGAAAAAAGTATTCTATTTGTAAAGTGATTTTTCTCATAGTCTCATATTCTAAGCAAAGCCTTTTATATAGAAAAAGGACTCCTTTTTTGATAAAGCGATTAAAGCGAACCACTCATCTAAAATTTATTAGATATTATTCTAACTTTTCCTTTTACTTCAAGAGGTTTTCCTCTTGTATGAAGAGGAATACGTTGATTTGAATGTCAACTTCTTTTCTTCAATCATGCTCTACCTCTAGACATGAACGAAAAAATAATTATATGCTCATAAGTCAGAATATTTAGAATTCTTTTTAAAAAAAGTATGTGTATTGTAACATATAACGAAGATAATTTAATACCTATATATCTGGTCGAATACAATTTACAATCTATTGCAGGAAGTTGAATAATATATTCTTTCTTTTAACTACGTTTCATACAATTGGTTGTGATGAACATCTTTCTAACTACGAAATCCATAACAAAACTGATTGGAAATTTGTTTGTTATGATGATCTTGTTTCATTCGCGCCTGCTTATTGTAAAACTGAAGCCAGAAATATATCTACATATATATTACTTTCCGCTATTTATATTATAATTTTTTCAAATTAATTATTGGTATAACCAATAAGATTAAAGTACAGTAAGAATAAATAATAATCCTCTTAAAAAAAGATTAAATAATCTGTATAGGAGGAAATTTATATTAAAATCAATAAGATTTGCATTACACATATAACATATAATTCCCCTAACTTTAAGAATAATGTTTCTATAATATTTTCCTCTTAATCTTAGAGGAATCCTCTTGAGGCCATATATAAGAATAAAATCGTCTAAAATTTAGATGATTCCGCTTGTTCTGAAATTACTTTTTTTTGGGATGTTAATTAATACTTTATCAATCGTTGTAGCAGAAGGAAAACGTTGGGACTGTCCTGCGGGTCTGCTCCAACGACTACGAGTGTCACTTTGTACATCTTTTTGTCTCAGCGTATCTTGCAAGAATTTTTAAAGTATTCCTTGCGTTCCTTGCGTCCTTAACTTAAAATGGCCTTGGCGAGGAAGCGGGAGCCTCAATCGCCACGCTTGCGGGTTGATGAGCTGAGAGGCAAATTCTTCCGCTCAAGAGCAAAAGCACTCACACTTGACGTTTCCAGCATGACAAACGCACGGGCAAGCCCAAAGTGTGGCTATACAAAGACAAGAACACGGGAAAGTCCAAGGGAGAGGCGACAGTCACTTATGACGACCAGAATGCCGCACGTTCAGCCATCAGCTGGTTTGACGGCAAGGAGTTTAAGAATTGCACGATAAAGGTGCAAATGGCGCAGCACAAAAGCAATTGGCAGGGTAATCGGATGGGCGGCGGTCGAGGCGGCGGCGGCCGCGGTCGTGGCGGTGGCGGTAGTTTCGGCGGCCGCGGAGGCGGCGGCGATCGTGACGATCATCATCGCGGAGGTGGTGAGGATCGCCGTGACAGCGGTGGCCGCGGAGGCGACTGGAGGTTAATCCACAGAATTCATCTGGTGTTGATAAAAGTATAGAGCTGCTCTCGTTTCAAGTTCAATCAGCAAATGCTTTCTGATCCGAAACAGGTGTCCCAATCCCGACTGCGGCAACACAAACTTCGCCTGGCGAGATCAGTGCAATCTCTGCAAAAGCTTGAAGCCGGAAGGCCTCAGTTACGGTGGCGGTGGCGGCGGCGGTAGAGGGGGCGGCGGCCGAGGTGGCGGTGATCGCGGTAACAGAGGTGGTTACAGAGGCGATCGCGGAGGACGCGGAGGTGACAGAGGCGGCAGAGGCGGCGGCTTTCGTGGCGGAGACCGAGGTGGTCGCGGGAGCAGAGGTGGCCCTATGAGGGGAGGCGGCGGGTAAGATATTTTTGTCATGCAGTAAGTTTTCATATCGAAATATACTCGGTTGACAAGACCGGGCAGAGAAACTTGGCCGAATCTGATCTCCGATCAGTGTCGGCAAGTGTTTTCTGATAAACAGCAAGTGGTCTCTGATAAATATCTCCTATGTCCCTGGTGTTTGACAACCACGCGGCGCTTTTTGAAGTCTCACATATATATGAAGACTGCACCTGGAGAGTTGAAGAAGATGAATGAGACGTTGAGACAAAACGGTAGCGAGGGAATGTAACGTCTGACCTCTTCAACATTACAAACGGACGCACAGGTCCAAATGAAACGAATTAAATTTTCTTCTTCAACCCCATTTAGCAAGTTTAGATAGAGGAAAGTATATAAATTCCCGTTAGATTCTAAAAAAAAAGCCGAGTCGATGTTATTCATCTTGTTGGTAAAAAATGTCGACTCTTCAGTTTCGAGTAATATCGTATTGTATTTTATTCGATAAACATAGCAGACCTTTTACATCAACAAAATATCTTCGACTTCAGTTCTTTTTCTAACGTTTCGTACGCAAAAGATTGGAGCAGTTGTGTAGTTATATAAAAACGCGTCTCGGCCACGTATTGATTTGTTGTCTGCACCTTTTCTGTTTCAGCCGAGGCGACAGGGACAGGGATCGCCAGCGACCTTATTAATCTCCCATTCGCGTCTAACAGCCGACCTGCCGTCGCTAAAAATAAATAACTTGTACACATTTTGTACACGAGTTTCAATGCTTGTACATTTCGCGAAGCGGAAGCTCCTATACATACATATATGCCATGTGTTTCCCCTCCTTTCTTTCTGTGTAACTTTTTTATAATCATGAAGATGCGCATCACTTCTCACCTTATATTAGCACAATGACTTCATGTAAAATCAATTCTTCAATAGACCATAATAGATAAGACTCTAAGTTACGTAAACCGCACGACTAATTGATTTATTTCGCCGTTCACTGTTTCGCTTTTTGGCATCACCGAGTGTAATGAAAAGAAGGAGAAGAGCTTTGTGGGAAAGTTCGTTTATTGAAAGTCGAAAATATAATATAGTTAATTTATATATTATTTGGGTGGGCGTGTATCTGTGTGTGGACGCGCGCGCATGTGTACATAAGTTTCAACGCTTGTATATCACGCGAAGCGGAAGTCACTTCCTACGCAGGTCTCCTTTCCTCACGCAACCTTGCACAAACTCATAAACATCCGCATTATTTCTTACGTTACGTTAATGCGACTATCCACGTGAAAACAAATCTTTGAATTCAAGGTTCTATACATCACACACTGTTCTCTTATCATCTGCTGTAACATCTACGCGAAATGCGACAACTCTGGGGAGGAAATTTGTTTATTGAAAGTTGAAAATATCGATAATTTATATTTAGGTTGTATGTGTGTGTACAAGTGCACGCACATACGCACACACACACACACACACACACACATATACGAATCTAATGGAGAATTGCACAACTCAGAGAGATATATAACCAAAATAAATTACGGCTTGTCTCCGTAATCGGACGCTAAACCCAGCGTGGGATGCCGATTACCTCGCGAATAAACAGGCCGCATATCTCTAACATTTTTCCGTTTTTTTATTATAGTAAATATATTTATATATAGTCTCGTCGTATATCGTTTACTAAAGAGATGTTGCATATATATATATGTGGTATGAGACGTGGTATATATAGATACTTGTATAATTTTTCCGGTATATATACACAGATACCTAAGTATGGATAGATTACATGAAGACCTCTAGTTTATGGATTTACTTGAATGCGCTCCGTAACCATCCCCCAATCGCCCGTTCAATCTTTACGCTTACGTGACTCCTTGGACAATTCCTGAAATCAAAGGAACGTTGCAAGTATTTTCCAGTCGTCCAGTGTCGTACGCGCGTCTGCAGATTATTTTATAATCGAGATGTCACGCCAACGAGGAAGGGAGCGTTATTAAAGGCTTGCTCGCGTAATCAAAGGCTAATTAAACGCGCGTATCTTGAAGGATGTACATTGATTTATCGTTCTCCTCTGGGCGTCAGCAGAATGACGTTGCAGTTATGAGGTGTATTCGCGAAAAAAAGTGATTAACCTGGGGTATCTCGATGACACCTTTATCGACTCACCTTTTGCGTAAGGATCACAAGAAGATGTCGGAAAACGCCGACAAAGTCGATAAACAGATCCAAGGAGTGCATGATGAAGTCTCTGCTGCCCATGTGATGCTTCTCGATGATCAGTTGCGTGTCATAAATGACGAAACCGCAGATCACGAAGAATCCCACATACAAGTGCGCTTGGTAGATGAAATACGAGCGCAGGAATAGATTCGCCAGGGAGAAGAGGATCATAATGTTCAGCATGCTCATCAAAGTGCCACCGAGATACAACCATCGTCCACGTTCAGCTAACAGCGCGGAAATACTGAAGGAAACGAAGATGACCGTTGTTCCTGCAATCATTATTCATTTATTTATTCATTCACTCATTATCGACGATAACAATACTGCAGTCGTCATCGACAGTGATAAATGAAGACAAAGATGATAAAACTCGAGGGAAAGCGACTCATTTCTTTCTGAAATTCTCTTTGCTCAAGAATGAAAAGTTCAAATTTATCGAGCTCCTGTTGATTGATGACTGAGTCAGCAGAATTGTCAGTGTGGAAAGTCAAACAAGAATGCTCTCCGGTCTTTTCGAGTGATTCAGTCAAGGATCGGATTCTTTTATACTCTTTGATCTATATTAGAAATCACTATCAGTCACAAGTAGCAACACTTATTATCACTCTATATATGGCACTAACAGAACAATTTATCTCCTGTTTTACGTTGTAGGACAAACTGTGCAGCGAGAAAACACTATTGATAATTTTGCCCGTCAACTGCCGTCTCAAGGATATACTTGTGTATACATTGAGATACGTTCAATTTTTCTCTCTTAATTCTAACGTTGTTGACAAAGTATAACGAACATTACACAAGCATATCACTGTAAATAAACGGTTGCCGCAAAATCTCACAAGAGAGAAGAATCACATGATTAGCAAATGTTCAATTTATATCTTTTTTTTTATTTTAATAAATTCATCCCTGAAGAGGCTACTCCGAGTCTGGTAAAAGTTCTTCAATTGTCACCACCAGCAGTCTTGAGAGCCTAAATATCACCATCAGAGCAGTCTAACGCAATATACAAGAGTACACAGAAAAACAGACTGGCAGCGAGGGATGGTTACTGTATGTAGCGAGAGAAAATATGATGAAGAGTGACTCACCAACCAACGCTGTTACGACTATGCTCGGGTCTATGCTAATCACCAGCTCGAGCAAGGGTCCCAAGCCAAGGCCAGACAGGAATGTGAATCCCAGAAGATAGCCGAGGCGCAGTTTTTGATTCTTGCCATTATCAGGTGTCGACATCAATGCAATGAGGAGACCCAAGGATCCGATGGTCGTCAGCAGGTTGGCCTGCAGGAGTTGTGTACTCATATGCACATAAGCTCCTGTAGCCGCTGACACAGTGGAGAGAGACAAGCAGCCGTAGACATTCTTCAGGTGCTGCCTGACAGAAGAGTTCCTGCAAACAACATTATCGTCTGTCATGGCAGCAGGATAAGCTGATCTTCTAGGTGGTCTGATTATTCACCGCCGACTTCGAGAAATCTGAGACGATCTGTTTTCACGTCACAGATAACTTCCTCGAGACCGACCGAGTTCTCACATCTCATCATTTCCTCCTCTCCCTCTCCGCCTAAGTGCGCGTCAACAAATGCATCGACTGGAACGTTCGCGAAAGATCCTGTGTTTCCCCGAACGCATCGCCCGTCTCGAGAAAAACTCAGGGGGTTTGTCCCCCCGAGCATCGGCTCTGTTCAATTTGGCCACGTAGGAAGCACGAGACGTGGGGACTCGCTGTGAGTCACTCGAAGACCCACTGAAGCAGGAAGCGCGATCGATCTCGCCGTGCGTAAGGAAAGTGCAGCCGAGAAGAAGAGCACTCTACGGGTCTTGAAGAGCGCTATATCGGGTGTCCTGAGCCGGCCGACGAGGGCGAAGAAATTGGACTTGGCCCTCTCCGCGCCTCCGCGACGCGACTCACGACACCGCGCGCACAAACTGCGCTGTACTCGACTCGCGAGGAGACGACGGAAGGTGACTATCGGCTTCCAGCACACGTATCGAGGAAGCCGAAGGTCGTCGCGAGTGAGTACGTGACGTACGTATGTGTCGCGATAAACATCTTCGGGGAGACGCGAGGGGCACAGGACGAGCGAGAGAGACAGAAAGCGAGAGAAACCGACATTGTGAAATTTTCGGGCATTATGCGATGCAACGCGAGAATTGCGCGTCATGAGCAAATAACATTAACTGCTGACGGGGGGAGAGAGAGAGAGGGGGGGGAAGGGGGAGGTAAAAATCGCAAATATATCTTCTCTCGTCTCCCGCTTTCTCTCCCTTGCCAAGTCGCGAACGAACGAAATGGAGCGTGTATTGTTCGGCTGCTCGATACTCACAGTGAATTACTGAAGGAGTTGACGAAGGTGTTCAGCACCGATGCCATAATTTTGTTTGCTCGACGATCTCGACGACCGACACACGCACGGCACTATACGATACGTCACAGCTCAACGGTCACGAATGACTGGCGGTATTTCGTCGGCTCTCTCTCTGCGCGTCAAGTGAAATTATCACGCAGCTAACGAACGTACATATGCACGCACGTAAGTCGATCCTCGGGGACACGTCAGTGATATTTCTGCGCGTAAAGCGAGAGGCCAACCGAGACAGACGAAGGTAGGAGTACGGACGACGTGTCCGATTGGTGCTGGTGCGTAGTTTGGTCGCCGGGCGCGCCACCAGGTGGCGCCCGTGCGGCGGCGCTCGTCGGGAGAGCTATACACCGTGTCCCGCAAGAGGAGGACACGTCGTTCTTCGTCAAGTGCAAAGTTCCAGTAAATTCTGTAATACGCAGATACGAGGGGACGCAGATGGACGAAGATCGTTGGGCTATGCGCCTCCGTCAATTATGTTTTCAGCACCTTCAAGGAGAGATGTGCTACTAACAGAGGCAACAACCCTGTTCACCTGCCAGTTGTCCCCTTGAAGAGACAATATATTGCACAATTATCTGGAAAGCCCAAGCAATATGCGTTAAAATAAAAATAAAACTTCTCTGTATATTACACCCATCTTCGATTGTTTCTCAGAGATAGAACAGTATCTGCAAATGTTCTTGACCATGACTAAGCTTGTAGGTGCTTCCACCTATGCCTAGAGTTGGGTCGAGTTGAGTTGGTTTCACTATATAATATCCGTTATATATACTATAGTGGAATTAACTCGGACCAACCCTGGCCATTTCAAAAGCATCCAATATTGAAGCATTCGTTTATGTTGCATCAGGAAATGACGTCAGTTTTCGAGCAAAGTATCAGAAGCACCGTCAAATAAGCTCGTGTGTGTGTGCGAAACTTTTAAATATATATTACATATCGATACAACTAAATCATCAAAATGTAACAACAGATCTTTATCACATTAGGATTAATAATCGTATCCTTAGAAATAGAATTAATATTATCGATGTATCAGTGAAATTAAAAGAGAAACAATCCTACTCGTATGAGTGTTAATTATAACAATCAGTAATCTTTAAACGTATGGGAAGAAAAAGAAAACGCGCCAAGTTTACAATCTGTCTTATAAGACTATTATAAAATAATATGCTCTTCTTTTTTCCTTTTATCTAAATATCATAGTCTATCAATATAGCAGTCTTTATATATCTGTTCAACGTATATTCAAAAATTACAATGCAACCGTAAACCGCTTAAATATATGTATATATGTTTACACTACTAATTATATGGAGCTGATAAAAAAGATTAATGATATAGAATGCAGGGTTTGCAACAAGATCCCCACACAATCGTTCTCTCTATACACTCCGCTATGTAATTATATTTCCATAAAATCCATCATAATTGCAAAACGACTAATGAATTTTTTCTAAATCTACGCAACTTCTCCATCACGATAATACCAAATTGCTCGTAATTATACACAACAGCTTTAAGATGGAGGGCACTGTAATCTCCCGATGTCGTCGCCTTCCGAATAACTCTCCCAAGAATTGTCGTTCGAGGAGCCGTTGGACACATAATCATCCTCATCGTTGCTGTCTTCATCTGGCGAATCGTAACGCGCGAAGCGATGCTGGAAAGAGAGAATGGCGGGATAAGACGAGAAAGAAGTTAGCTCCTTGCGGTCGCTTGCAAAATCACTGAAATCCGATCGAAGGCCACGATTTGCGATTTGCACTTCTACTTGTACTCTCTGTCGCATTTCTATTTGTATTATTTTACTATTTCTACTTACAGCAGGAACTTACCCGCGCTGTAGCTGTGTGACGAATGTGCCTCAGCAAGATCCAGAGCATCTGGCCGTCGAACGCGTCAGGTTCGTTCTCACGCCTCCTGTTCCTCGCATTCTTCTTCACGCACTTGTGAGACAAAGATAAGCGAATAAATGAGCGCGCTTGGGTAACTTTTAAAATCATATTCTTCCACTCGTACCGCATTTAAAGTGACAATAGGACGTACGATGCAATCGACCTTTGTCGTGTTATTTAACTTCAAGTTAGAACGATCGTGTCTTTTTATGCGTACCTTGGCGAAGTCTCCCATCTTCGGAGGCTCCTCGTCCCAGGGAATCCATATCTTGACATCATAATCCAATCCACTCGTCGCGAGAACAGGAATATGCGGATGTCCCTCTAAGCAATTTACCTGTCCAACAGAAAAGAAGGATGTCCATTGCGATATTGTTGTTCATCTTATCATTAAAGAAGGCCCGTACGCTTGCGCGACCGGCGGGCAACTCACAACTCCTTGCTCATCACCCTTCATCCATTGTACAACAGCCTCCGTGTTCTTATCCCAAATAAATATGTTGCCACAGTCGGAGCCAGATATGACGTATTCGCTCTTAGGCCCGAAGAAGTTCACTCCCTTCACTGTAACCAACAAATCTTAAGTGACACAACGCGACGTTAAAATATATTATATTAGAACATATAAATTAGGATATAACTTGTTAATAATTTAATGTTTATAATTGCATATTATTATCGCAATTATTGTGATTGTATTACAGTCAGTACTCTGTGTGAAAGTTTAGTTAAAGTATAAAAGTTAATCGATATGTCGACACGGACGAAATATACCAAGTTTTCCAAAAATAATGGACCTCCTCCCCTATCTCAGAACCTATGCATTATAGAAAAAAATGATCTGAACAAAAGTTTTAAGGTTTATAAAGTTCTGTTTTTTTTTGCGACCTCAAATTTATCCTTGACCTCGAGCTTGAAGGTTATTTGAAAGCCACCTTGCATTTTTTAAATAAGAACCCCTATTTTTTATTACACTATCTTTTTTCTACCAATTAATTTGAACAACTTTTGTCTAAAACATTTTTTTATTTGCCTAATATTTTTTGAGATATTTGAGGAAAACTTGATAATTTCAATATTTGACTTACGATATCTCGCTGATTATTTGTCGGAAGAAAAATGTGATACTAGACTTTCTTGCTTTATTTAGTCTCAAGAATATATTGTTACAATAGCGCCCTGATTTTTGTTAATTTGATGATTTTGAAATTTCCAAAAGTCAGTAAGTTAACAAAAGTCAGGGCGTTATTGTAACAATATATTCTTGAGACTAAATAAAGCAAAAAAGTCTAGTACTTTTTCTTCCGACAAATAGTTAGCGAAATATCGTAAGTTAAATATTGAAAAAGTTATCAAGTTTTCCTCAAATATCTCAAAAAATATTGGGCAAAGAAAAAAATGTTTTAGACAACAGTTGTTCAAATTAATTGGTAAAAAAAACAGTGTAATAAAAAATAGAGGTTCCCCTTTAAAAAATGCAAGTTGACCTTCAAATAACCTTCAAGGTCGAGGTCGAATTCAAATTTGAGATCACAAAAAACAGAACTTATGAACCCTAAAACTTTTGTTCAGGTAATTTTTCTCTATAATGCATAAATTCTGTTACTTTTGGAAAACTTGGTACATTGCAGAGTGTTATACACAGGCGTCAGGTTTATGTTGTAACATATTTCATACCGGTCGCATTGTTCCGGTGACCTTGATATCTATGCGCATAATCCACGGACGGCGACATCAGTCTGTCAAACAGATATATGTCTTCATCATTGTACGATGCGAGGATTTCAGTTCCGTTATAATTATATACAGCGCACGTTACATGTGCGTACTTGTTCTCCGTCTAAAAAACAATGTACATTAAATTATACGCGCATAACCGTGGGACAAGATTAGCCTTTGTTAACTCGACGATTTTGAATCCAGAGATCTTCAAATCAGTTTGAGTTAAAAAGTTAACAACTTTTAACTCAACTGATTTTGAGAGAGAGAGAGAGAGAGAGAGAGAGAGAGAGAGAGAGAGAGAGAGAGAGAGAGAGAGAGAGAGAGAGAGAGAGAGAGAGAGAGAGAGAGAAGGAGAGAGGGAGAGGGAGGGGGAGAGGGAGAGAGAGAGAGAGAGAGAAAGAGTTAATCAGGTTTTCGTTTAAGTAACTTTTAACTTAACCAAGCTGGTTTAATTTTTAATTTGGTTAAAAAAATGTGTCAACTTGCTCAACACTGAATTAAGGGAAATCGTTTTTTCACGGTTATAAAATTATACTGCAACATACCAGGTGATGCGGACACAATTTATAGAGAGGCGTCGAAACTTTTCGTTGATCGTATACTCTCACGTAATGGGAACGACCGCCAACGCAAAATTCGTTACTATTAAAAGGATTAGAATGTACACTATACAATTGCACCTCGGATATATCTTCTTTTACTACTAGCAACCTGGAAACATTTAAACAAATGAAAATTATACAAAGTTTTTCAAAGCTTTTTCATGGATTTTATGTAATAAAATCAAACACGTTGGTATTTGATTTCTCATAAAGTTAAGACATTTGCTTTATTCTTATTATCGTCGGGACGCTTTGAAGTGTTGGTATCCTTGTTTTGTCTACCATTGAAGAGAATCCGGAATAGAATTGAAACGACGATAGTAAGAATAAAGCAAACTTTTTGAGTTTATACGAAATGCAATATTAATGTGTTTCCTTTGATTTTAATACAATTAGAAAATGTTTGTGTCCGAGCATTGTTAAAGGCCCTTTCAACTTTCCATTTTGAAACGAATATCAACAGAGACTTTCCTAAGAGTAAGATAATTTTCAAGAAAAAATTTATTTACTATATAAAATTTATTTACTAATATTACTAACATATGTATTACATGATATACAGAATGAATTGACAGAGAATAGAAACACACAGTTCTTTGCTTTTGTAATCATGTTGTGTAACTATACGTCACTTACTTGGTTGGTCTACGCTCTCGGATATCTATTGATAATACCTTCGCATCTTCACCCACAGAAATGATTACATGAGGTGTCTCATTGTGCACAGCCAGCTTATGTGACGGTCCATTATGTGTTGCCAGTTTCTTGGACGTTTCATGTCGAAGATCTAACAGGCGTACCTGACCGTCTCTGCCGCAAGTGACCATAAGGTATTCCATGTCGAACGGCAACCATTTCACCTAAACGTGTGTAAATAAAGTGGATTAAAACAATAATAGTTGGAATAATTGTTGAAAAAACAAATACATCCCCAAGCACAAAACATCATATAAAATATTATCCTAAATGCGTTCAATATGCCTGGAGAGTGTTTCAGAATATCCTGAGGACTTTCAGATTCCTGAGGACCTCATGATATCTTATGATATATAAGTGTTTGCTAAGAAATTCTGGGTGACGTCAGACAAAAAAATACACTCTAAAAAATTTTGCAAAATGTATAATAATTAAATATTAAAAATAATATTTAATATTTATTTATATTTTTTATTTTTTTATTTAATATTTTTTATCTTTAACATTTATTTTTTATTTCTGACACTAAATACCTCGAAAAGATTTTTTTAGAGATAAAAATGTTTCAGACAGAATTTGTACGACTTCAAAGGGAACATAAGATGGTAATATTTTTTAAATATCAGCAGATCAAATTTGTTAAATATGATCATATGCTTCTTTTAACATAATTCGATTCCTTTGGTTATTCTGCATGTATATATAAAATACTGGACCAAGATGATCATGTGTTTTATCCTGATACAGAAACATTTTTGCAGAAGATACTACTTTTTAAGACGATTTCTATAAAGTCATATATACCTGAAACATATTGCTAGAGTGGCCACTTTCGAACCAATAACGCTTCTTCCCTCTAGCCCAATCCCAGATAACAACAGCTAGATCATCAGAGCCACTCGCCAGTAAATTACCCCTTTGATTGAAATTTAAGGCATTTACACAACCCTAAAAGTGCTGTTAATTAGTATTTATCAACATTAATAACCACGCAAGGATAATATAAAATAACAATTATAGCACGTAACATGTTCGCAATTAATCCTCTGTAACTTTGAAGTCACTACCAATATATCGATATCCTTTAATTATAGATGCATATATAGATATTGTACTCTATTTGACTTCAAAGTTATAAACCGTTTTTTTTCAGAATAAAATCTTTAAAATTGTAAATTAATTGATAATTTATATCTGGATCAAAAAATATTGTTGTTAATTTGTTGTTTTTGCTGTTATACCGTCGTTGAGATATTATTAACTTTATAAAATTTACAAAACTACCCAAACAGCAGTAATTCAGGACCCTTGCGATAAACTCTGAGAAATGATAAGTCTCGCAGAAAGGATCATTTTTTGTCAAGCCACACGTGTTACACTCTGACATGTCGTTTAGATGCTACGCGACCGCGATCTCAGGTGACATTTATTACAATTAACGAATTCATCTACGTAGGTATATTAGTTTTGTTGATGTTTGTGTTTGCAACGTGGTGACATTTATTATAATTATGATAGATTATTTATTCATTATTTCAAATACAATTTGCATACAGTTTACAGAAAATGTTCAAAGACTCTATTCTGAACCTGATTACATTCATGACATCGTCGTGCCGCTGTTCATAAATGCGGAGAGATTAGAGAGTCTTTGCAATACCGTCTCTCAGACACGTTAACGTTGATCATGAATGTTATTGGTCGCGCACATTGAAACGTTATTTCTGAGCGAATAACATTCACGATTTGCATTTACCATATCTGAAAGACGATATTGCAAAAACTCCCTATTTTCAACAGTTTCCCCTAATTTCTCAAGTCAAAGAGCTGAGCCAAATCAAAGTCGTCTATCCTTGGTTGATTATGGTACGTCACTGCTTATCGATTATATTTATAGGATAAGGGCGAGGAAAAGGGATCATGACTTGGTTGAATAATGTAAATATAAACAGATAAGCAGATACATGTAAGCATAAACATAACAGATAAGCATAAACATGTAAATATAAACAGATAACAGATAAACAGATAAAGAAATGCAAAGAACATTGATGTTAACAGTCCTTACATTGATGTTAACATCAATGTAAGGACGTAAATGAATTCATTTCATAATTGTAATAAATGTCCTAAAACCTAAATGGTAAATGTGAGGCTTCTGCACTAGATGAGCACCTAAATAAAAAGAATATAGTGTGGCAAATAATGATCTACGAGACCTATGTCTCCAGAGTTTATAGATGATATTCTAGATCCTATATAAAAAAAAAATAATTCATTCAATGTCAATAATGTGTAAAAAGAATAAATTCCTTGATGTTCCTTGAAATTCCTTGATCTCAGAATAATGTATAAAAGAAATAGATTACTTAATATTGATAAATAATGTACAAAAGTACATAATACAAAAGTAAAGCTAAAGATGGAGCTTTTGTTGTAAAAAAAGAAGAAAAACAAAGAATGACTATCTTTTGCCGCACCGAATGAAAAAAACAACCTTAATGAATTTAATGCGACAATAAATCCAAGATGTAAATATTGAAGAAATAATAGAGAATTCCAGATACTGAAAGAGTAATGAGGAATTGCTAGAATTAACATTCATAACCAATGTCTTCTATCGTATATACATAAATGCAATCATTGATATAAGTAATACCTGATGCTCATTAAGGTCATACAGCCGTTTAAGCCGCTCTACGACGTGTAAAGAACCGTGAAACCTTCTGTGAAATAGCGGGTTGTTACCAATTTCACGGTTTAGAAGTTCTGGCACCATCTGGAAAGTGGGTGGAGGTTTTTGTTTTTTCAAACAGTGAGGCTCTTCATCTTCATCCATTTCATCTTCGCTAGTTGTTATCCATTCATTCGAATTATCTATTCGAAAATTACTAGTGTGTATTTCGTAAAACAAATACGCAATATAAAAAAACATGAGTTTTCGACGCGGAAAGTTTCCTACTAGTCTTTCATTTTTGTTGCTTACTTACTATTAGAACTCTTCAGTATCTCTCTTTACACGTAATGTGAATATATGAAAGTATAAAATACCTCTCTCATTTGAGTCTCGATCAGCCCCATCGCTACTTGTTTCTGAACCTCCTTCGCGAATTTCTGAAGTTCTGTTTAACGTTGAATTAGGAACAGATGATTCGTTGTTAGTACTGGCAGATGCAACGTTAGCTAAAATTATAATTATTACTTATTATATTCAAAGACAAACACAAATACCTAAAATATTTGAAGAATCTTAAAAATATCTGAAGAACGTCTAGCAAGTAGAATGCGTCCAATACACATGTCTAAAGTCCGTTAAAAAAAATAGAAATTAGTCTGAAGAGTAGCATTGTCTTTCAAATATTATCAAAAGACATATTTAAAAAAATATGATTGTGAGATTTACAAAATATACTGTTTGATTGTAAACCTTCATCTCCATCAAGTATTGAAGCTTCTCTGGCTGTTTCATTGTGCATGGTCCTAGAACTGTCCTCATTATCACTCGCTGCATTTCTCCTCTTTCGATAATTTCGCTGTCGTACTTTTGAGTTGGTTCTTTGAAAGGTTACTATATCATCAGCCAAATTTTCTTCATCATGCATACTATCGTTCAATTTTTGCCGTTTACTCGAATCTTCATCCGAATTATCGCCAGAATTTTCCATTGATGTACCTCTTTTGACTTTGTTTTGATCAGCATGTAACATATTTGGTTCTTTAGCATGGGAAGAGGATGGGCTACTGTCTTGTGAAGTAGTCGCTCCTGATGTATAAGTTGAATTAATGGTGGTAGGCAACATTTCTTGTAATATTTCGTTAGTTGTATCACATTCATCAGAATCAATGTCAATTCCCTGATAATTATCTTGTAGAGGAAGTTTTATGAGTTCATGTGCCTGTTCACTTTGCATAGTTTCACAGACATTATCAATCTGTTCTGCTATAGGACTAGCATCTTTTGTGGTAATATTACTTTTATACCCACCATCGGAACTATTTATATCCTCCAAGACATTGACAACTTCTGAAGAACTTGATTGCATCTTACTGGATTCATTGTTCTCATTTTCTATCATGCCAGGAAGATTTGCCTCAATATCATTGTTAGTATCAGATGTTCCGCTCCCAGAATCCATATCCTTGGCAGAAATTAAATATACCTCTTTTGTTTGCACAGGACACTAATAGTCATTTCTTTTTAAACAGTACTAGTAATTGTATAATATATTTAATATATCTGAAAAATAATACATTAGTTAACAAGAAGCCTATAAATACTTAATATTTGCTATATAGCCAAAGAAATCATATATATATATATATATATGTGTGAGTTACAAACTTCTGTCATTAATTTATTATTGTTAGTAAATTTTATATATAATTTCATATAATAATATCTATCAAATTTCTATTTTCCTACAAGCAATCATGTTTTTATTTTTTTCATATTATTAAAATCAGAAAACATATTTGTATGTGAAATTAACATAATTGTTAATAACAAAATTACAATGATTTTTTAAATCTAAGTTTAGATATCTATTATTTTGGAAAAGTTTTACTAAAAATAAACAACTTATCAACAAAATTATAAGGATATTTTGAAATTATTTTATCGGATCAGATCTTATTATATATAGAGATAGATAAAATTTTATAAGATGTGACTAGAAATTCCATATTTTTCTAAAATACTACACACACACACACAAACATATTTAATATAGAAATATATGTAAAAATATACAGGATAAATATAAATAGGAATAATATGTATCAGCAAATTTAACCATACAAAACACATATGTGTGTATATCATATATCCATACACATATTATTATATATATATTCCGATTTATACACCATATACATATTATACATATATTCGTATTTGCCTACACACATACATACAAAGAAAACATCTGTGAAGGTTATACATTGCTTTCATGATAAAACTTTAAGTGGAAAAATGATTTCTATATATATTACGCTCAAATTAATAGATATTTAACGACAATGAAATGAGGTCATGTTAACACGTTGTAACAGGTTCGAGATAATGCGTTTTAATATGGTTTGGTAGGAGGGATAGTTCAATGTCGCGAGAGATTGATATTCAACATTTCCCGGAGTGGACAATTCGCATAATATCGCTGTTGACTCGGGAAATTTATCGTTGGTATATACAAACTTGTCATTTACAAAAAGGAAGAACGTTACGGATTGTCTTGGGATTTAATTGCATACATCGACCGTGCGCGCGATCGTGATAGCCGACAACGTCACTGAAAATCGACGCAATTACCTCACGTTACATAAATTCACCGTCTCTCTCTTGATGCATACGCTCAAAATGAAATTATCTGCTAAGATGGCCAAAACGTATGTAACTTACATGTGTATACGTACCATTAGAATCTCGCTATAGAATGCTTTGTGAAACGTACACACAGCATCACATATATTTTAGCAGTGGCGCCAATCATAAACTTAAAATCTCACTATGCTTTTCGTTAAAGAACCACAAGTCGGCAATTTAAAAATGTCGCTAGCTAGAAGCTCTAGAAAATAGACTCTTCTATTGGATAATCGGGCGTTGGATCTAGTGTGAATCCTCCATTAGTTAGCGATGCGATACTGTACGCATCTAATGTATCCATCATTGGCACATTACATCTTCGACTTCAGTGCTGTACCTATTAGATTGTACGTATGCACGTTTTATCTACGTTTCGTTGTGGTTTTTCTTTCATTCTTTCTCGATTCGATAGTTCAATATAAATATATTTATGTTCCAGCATCACAGAATATGAAATATTAATAGTATAATATAATATATGCAAGTATAGATTGAGAAAATGAATTTATATGATTCGAAAATGAATTTTATTTATACATTATTCCAGGCTCGGTGATTTAAGTTTTAGCAACACGTGATCTTGACGCAAATAATTCAAAATCCTTGAAAGTTGAATAAATAAATAAAATAAATAAAATGAACGCGTACAATTATAAAAAAAATTAGGACAAATCTTACTGGACAATTGTCTTCATATGAATGAAAATAAGACTGCGCTTGATTTTTCAGATCGTCAATTTTAAATAAAAATCTTGAACAACAATGGCTAAAGCGTTAAGTTTGCTAAAAACAATACGAAATAATTGGAAGAAAACATTAATAGGAACCGCAGCTCTTTCCTATGGAGTTTCATACGGCAATCAAGTATATGAGTAAGAGACCATGGGGAACATAACCTCAAGTTCGATTAAAAATTATTGAGGCATGATAATTATTGCAGAATAGAAATGACTATTATTATTACAAATTATCTCCCTATAATTTTTCTCGTCATTTTTACATAAATATATTTCTGAAAAAAAAGTTACACCTATTGCGTAATTATTACTTTGCCTAATTCAATTTTATAACATTTTTAGGACTGGACAATTAATGCAACAACATTGTGAAGAAGCAGCAAAATATGGAGACAAACCTTGTCCTACAAATGTTAAGCCTCGTCATATAACTGTTATTCTAAATCCAGCAGCTAAGAAGAGGTGTGCAAGGATATTCAACACTATCGCAGAGACTTGTTTAACTTATACAATAATTATACAAATATTTACAATAATTATTTTTTTCTGTGTTTAGGAAAGCCAAGAAACTGTTTGAAAAATATTGCGTGCCTTTGTTGCATTTGGCTGGTATTGCAGTAACCATCATAGACACACAATCAGGAAGCCATGCACGTAATGCAATAATCAATCTGGAAACACCTACGGATGCAATTGTTGTAGCAGGTGGAGATGGCACCTTATCAGATGTAGTCACTGGCTTAATGAGAAAATACGAGAATAATTTGCAATTTGTCAAGCAGTGTCCTATTGGTGTTCTGCCGCTGGGAAACACAAACACAATCGCGAGCAAATTTTTTAAAAACTACACAGACTTATCTGATATACATCATATGATTGACGCAACAATGGCAATAGTAAAAAATAACTTTAAATTATTAGATGTGCTTGAAATCAAGGTATCAGAGGTGAATATTCTCATTGCTTCTCATTTATTTAATTGCGGATTAAATTACAGTAAAATATTAAATTTCTTTGTATATTGATTTAAGGATAATTCAGATACATCCATAAAGCCAGTTTATGCTGTAGGAAGTATCAAATGGGGAGCTTGGAGCGACATACACGGACGTATTGATAAATATTGGTACTGGGGCTACTTACGCAAGTAAAAATCTTAATTATTTCAATAGAAGGCTTCTGCTATACCATATAATGCTTTTTATCCATTCCTCTTGTCTGTTCTTACACATACGAACAGATACGCAGCTTATGTATTCAATGGTTATAAATCGGACCTAAATTGGAAATGCAATGCAGTACTAAAATACACCAATCCTTGCAAAGGATGTTCACACTGTTATTCTAAAAAAATATCTTCTGATCAAACTGCAAATTCAAACAGGAGATGGTGGCATGCATTTTTACCAAAGACACGAACATTTATACCTGGTATAAAGAAAAAAATTTATAAAACCTTGAGTAATATGAATTATTTACACATTAGGAAGTAATGTGAATTACTTACACACAAGATATTACTATAAAATAAAATATGTGAATAAACTTTAGAAAAAAAATTGAATTTGTCATAGCAGGATAAAAAAGTATATTAATTATTTTAGTAACATTTTGTTTATGCATGGGATTTTACAATGAGTACTACATGATCTTGTGATATAATCGAAATTTATATTTCAGATAATCATGTTGATTATAGCAAAGTAATTAATGAAGATTGTGGTATCCTCCATGACCTGACTGTCTGTACAACTGAAATACACATCAAAACAGAAAATGCAAACAGCAAGTCAGCATCTTCGATCAAAGTATCTATTGGTAATAAGAAAATATCAAAGATTTATTTAACGTTTAAATATTTGACAAAAATGTGCAGAAATAGTATAAAATTTAAAATGTATCCAATTTTACATTCAGGTCCAAATGACATTAGTTACATCTCATTTGTTGAGAAAGGTTGGGATCAAGAAAGATACGACGAGTTGGATGTGGTACAACCGATAGTGGATGCAAAATATATCGAATTATACCCCGAAATAGTAAGCAACTCTTTTTTGATGGAATATTATTAAAAAAATTAATGAATTCAGATATATTTTGAATACAGACATTGCAGATTTCACAGTATTTTATCCATCAGTGATGAATTAAAAAAAAATTTAACAATTCTGTTTCAGAAGAATGAAAATCAGATGTTTTTCATAGACCATGAAGAATACGAGTTGAAGCCAATCCAAATTAGATTACTTCCAAAATCTATAACAATATTTTATCCTGAAAGTAGTAAAAAGACAGAAAATGTATAAATGTAAGATTAATGTAAGATTATTATACGATATTTAATTTTTGTATGATACCTTGTGATACTGTCCAGGTTATGCAAAAAATTTTCATCGTAAAAGAATAAGAAAGAACAAAGCGCAAGTTCAGGTGTAGTATAAAAATATTATTTTATTCAATATATACTTTTTTAAAAAATAACTTATTGTACAAAAGACCCATTAACTCTATAATTGTCAATTTACATTAAATTTAATAAAGATCTCAGCCTATTATTTGCGTTAGAAATTTGACTATATCAGATCAAACGTGATCTAATTATCTTATCATATATGCTGATTTTAAAAAGTATACAAGGTACATTATAATGGATAATACTAGTAATTTATTTTGAACTTTTCATCAATTGTGAATCAGAGTATAAGTTTTTTTTATCACTCTCTTTACGATTTTTATACAAGCTAGAAGCTTTCGGTAAAATATAGATATATAATTAATGGAAACAAAAGGGTTTCTAGATGAATATGAATCGAGTAAAATGTATATTCATTATCATATATCAATACAAGGAAGCCCGTTGAATCCTTCGCATAAGACTGAAGAAGATATCAGATTAGTCGCATAACTGTGATTAAGCTACTATTTTCGCCTCTTAATTAATTGAGCTCTCGATTCCATCAATTATATATCAGTCTTTATAATTTCACTTCAGAAAATAATTGATATACAGGGCGTTTAAATTTAAGCACGTGACTTACAGGTAGAATGTATTAATCTGAATAGTAAAGTCCTTTATACCATTTTTCACGACTTTGTTATTAACCTTTATAATCTGGAAGATTTTTCGGATGACTTTTGTAGCCTTTGAATTAGAAATTTTTCATAAATTTTTCATGTCAGAAAATACGTTGGTAAAAAGAAAAAAAATCTGGTCTTCTCCACTCCATTGTAATGGCTTCCTGAATTACAAAGATTATAAGATATTAATTAAAGAAATTCCTAGAGCTCATCCCTACAGAGCTTGTGCCAACGCAATGTGTGCCAACACTCATTCGTCGATTATCCGTGAATTTTTTTTAATTAATCTCTTAATAACATAAGCATTATCTATCGATAACAATGCAAGAAATGGTATAAGATTGTTTCTATTCACTTTGGCGCGCTCTACTCGCACAGCGGGTATTGTACTTAAATTCGCGTGGAGACACCTTGTATACAAATTTGTATATATATATATATATGTGTGTATATATATTAATATAAAATATACATATTTTCTGTTCTCTCTTTAACATGTCATTGTTGAGAAACGCGGAACACAGTTTAAAGCTTCTGTTCTTTAATTGTAAGGGGATTATATATAATGCTGGGAATATAAAATTATATACAGAGATAAAATGAATGAGAAGAGATCAATGATGAAGCAGAGATGTGAAATGGACACTTTTATATACAAACTACCTCGCAATATCTGAAAGACCGATCTGCGAATTTTTATTGTAATTTAATGTAATTAAATAAATGTATAGTCTATCACTCGGTGTTTACGGTGTTACTCGTCGAAGGTACGTCAGCACTCTTATTGTCAGCGGTGGGAGGATTTTTTTCGCAATCGCTATTAAGAGCTTTGAAGAAATCCAACAGGGAGAACACCGTCGTTTTCGACGCTTTTTGGGGATCATGCGATCGTGACCTGGTAGTCCTTCGAGCAGGTGTCGTCTGGCCTTTGGGACTACTCGGCTTACCCAGGGTGAACTTGCCAACCTTTTGTTCGTACCTCTCTTTCCTAATTTTTGTCAACCAATCGACGTTCTCTTTCTGCTTTTGCGGCGATATTTGAAGCAAGTGCGGCGCAGTACCGTCAATCACGAAATTTGGCAAGTTCACCGTGGGCGAGCAAAGAGTCTCTACATTTCTGTCGCTCACGGACGCAGACTCACTCGCGTGGGATTCATCCGAGTCGTGATTCTTGCTTGAGCCCGAAGCGCTCTTATCGCCAGTGCTAAATAATAATCTCCGCGCGCTACGGCACTCCGTGCGCATTCGTTTCGCAGCCGCCTCGTCGCTGTTCTCGCCGATAGGAGATAAAACAAGGTTCAATTTCCCCTCGGACCTCGCTCTTGCTACCATTTGAGAGTAGCTACGTTTCAGCGTATTTGCGATAGGTGTGTTCGGATGCTCTACACAGTGACCGGCGTCGTGCTCGTCGTTGCTAGGCCCAGGAATGGCAGCTGTGGAATTTAAATGCGCGTTTAAGAACATGATACTTTCAATATCTGCTATATCTTCAGAGAATGCTCTGAATCTTACACTTCTTTTTCTAAACTCTACAACAAAATTGTTTTATCCTTACGCGAGCCGTTATCCGAGCCCGGGGTCCTGTCGCAAAGTCGAGTGGTAGTTGAAGGAGTTCTTATTCCGCCCATGTACACATTCTCATCTGTAACCAGCTGAGCCCGACCGCGTACTTCTATTTCCTCGTTCTCCGTTTTGTGCTCGTATCCAACTTTCCATATTCTGTGGTAGGAATCGTCTGAGCACGTTACTATCTGAGAATATTTTCGAAATTAGACGGACACTGAACTTTCTGGCTGTTATCACACAAGCATTGGGTAACAATGACATGTCTTTCAAACCTTTGTGTCACCCACGTTACACCAGGCGATGCAGGTAACTTCTTCTCTGTGGCCTGATAGCCTGATCAACGGTTTACCCGGTTTGTTGACGCGCCAAATGTACGCGAGATTGTCGCTAGATCCGCTGGCAAGGTAACGACCATCAGCGCTTAGGCAGGTCTTCACATAATACGTATGGTTTTGATGTCCGTAATACGTCGCCACTGTTGCAGAAGAAATTCTCCAAATTTCATTCGATCTCGCCGAGACGAATCATACAGTATTTCTTATGTCAAGGAGAAAATATATTTACAAAGCTCGTGGCTGTGTGATGAGACGTTGTAAGAATATATGACGTGGTCCATGCAACTTGCGTACAACGTGATCCTGGCCGGACACAGCGACAATGAGGAGAAGCCGTTCCTGGAGCTGTTTCCTGTATACTTAATTTGATGCTTGGCAATTGGTTCTTTCTTATGGACTGTATAGTTCTTGCGTAAATCCCATATTTTGATGAAACTGTAACAAAGATTTGTCACTCTGGAATGCTGCAGAGAAGAAGATTTAAGGTGCAATATTCTATTTTACTTTTACTCTGACATATCAGAAGTATTTTTTCTATTCTCTGTTTAAATCTGCAGATCAAATAAAGTACATTTAATCTGAAACTTTCTAATATCTTTAAGTATAGTAACAATCTTACCCATCGCCTGCAGCACATGAGATTAACGTAAAGTCATCCTGAAATGTTAAACCAGTGATGCTTTGTGATCGTGATGGTTGCAGTAACTTCCGTCTTTTTTTGGCTGTATTACCAACAGGATGTCCATAGGTAATACTATTGTCTGGTCTAGGTTGACTAAGATGATTAGCTCTAACATCCCATATCATAATTACACCATCCCTAGCTCCCGTTGCAAAAACCGCTGAAGTTTATAAAAGATATTTAAAGATTCTGAGTTGCATAAGCATGCAATTAAATTTCTATTTTCTATGAATTCTGTCATTTTTGTAAATAAAATATGGAAAACCATATGAAACCATATAAATATCATTAATTAATTAATCAATTAATAATTGATAAAACATTCCAACATATATACCTTTATCTTGATAACGAAACGCTACAGTTTTTACACTTCTTGTATGTGCACGAAAACAACCCAATTCTTTGATATCTGATCTTCCAAATGTGCTGACATCCCATAAGCGTGCTGTGTGATCTCCCGCTACTGTGACTAGTTTTAATTCTCCAGGCATCCAAGCAATATCAAAAATTGCATTAGCATGTGCCTGAAAAAATAGCATATTCCTGATTAATATATTATTTCTATATATTTTAATAAATATGCATGCTAAATGCATGCTGTACTGTTTGTAGCCCAATTATCAAACAATATTTCACATCAATTTATCAAATAAAAAAATAGTCTATATTCTTAATAATTAAAGACCACTTTACTCTGATTATTTTGCTAGTCTGAAGAAATTTCCATCCAATAAAAATAAACAATAACCTGTACTCCTTCTAGCGGCTCATTATTTCTTCCTTTAACTTTTGTATCTTGAAGAGCGATGCGTCCATCTTCGTTTGCCAAACCAAGAACTTCCTCATATCCTGGTTTTGTACAAAAACGACATGCAAATACTGGTGGCTCCGAGTCAATGTCATATCTGCGCATATTTGATGCTATCCCATGATATACATCGTCGTACCAGCACGTCAAGCGATACAAAGGAATATCATAATCATGTATTGATTCTATAAAAAAGAATTAGACATATCAGTGGCATTGCACTGTAAAACCTTATTTTTAAAATTTATTATAGAACCGGCTGTAATGCACAAATCGCATTGTCAAAAATACAATTCTAATCTTTTAATACTGTGCGATTTAATTTAACTGGCTATTATGCAAAGGCGTTTACATAAAACATGCATTATTTCAATTTTTTCTAAGATATATGTTTTCATTTTATTACCAAGTCCATTCTCTCGTCTCTGAATGGCATTTATTATATTCATTTTACATTGACATCAATATAACACCGGGAATAATCTGATTGGCATGTGAGATTGTTTATGTTTTTGATACACACGGATGATACACGCGGGAAACTCTCGCTTTAGTAAACTGTACCTTTTCGAAGAACTCTCCGAAATGGTGCATATTGGAATAATAAGTTAGAGTGAAATAAATATACTTCATTTCACTTTAACTTATCGCACCAGTGTACACTACAGTTTAGAAAGTTCTTCTATAGAGAATAAACTTCATGAGCCTTCTACAATAAGGCCCAGTTCCACAACTTGCTTTAAAACAAGTTGTGGAACTGGGCCTAAGCTATTAGTCATAAGTTATAACCAAATTGACCAACCACAGTCGATTATTTTTGAAATAATCAATTGTGATTGGTCAATTTGCTTATAGCTTATGACTAATTGCTTGAGCCAGCGACACACGGTGCTTGTTTTCGTGCTGGATTGCTTGCTGGATGAAAATACTGCGTTCTGATTGGTGCATTTCCATCCATCTTCAGAAATGTACCAATCACAACGCAATATTTTCATCCAGCAAGCAATCCAGCACGAAAACAAGCACCGTGTGCCGCTGGCTTTATTGTAGAAGGCCACTAAAGTTTTTCGTCTTCATAGCTGAACTGGTGCTGCACTATAATTTTTCTCTCCTCTTCCCTTCCACGTAATTTTATATATTTGTTTCATTCTAATAGCAAAAAGCACAACTTATGGCCGTGTTCCGATATTCACTGCCAGCACTGAAAATCTATAGTATACGTGACATAAACTATATATTTTCAATACTGGCAGTGAATATCAGAACGCAGCCATAATCACCGACGAGGTAATATAAAGACTGTCAGCCTCGGGTAAATTTTCGTACTAGCCAAGGGGGCCCCAAGAAGCCTGGAGGTATCTCGTCGGTGGATTAGGTTTTACTGTAAAATAAAGTTGGTAGGCTTCAAACTAAAATCAGATACGTTTCGCGATTGATTCACGAGCTGATCAATTATCCAGATAATAAATAATAAAAAATCTATCCACTTTTCTATCTAATATTACGAAATCAGCAGCTAAAAAACCAAGTTTGTAAACAGAAATAAAATATGAAGCTGTGAACGTTCAAGCATAATCAGCTAATCAATTACACAACGAGGTAATTTAAGGTCTATCAACCTTATAACTAAAATGAAATTTTGGAACAGGTGAAGAATAGAACTCTACAGTAGATCATCTCCGATCATTTTTTTATTTTTTATAATGACATGATTTTGATAACGAACCAAAAGAATTTTAATCTTTAAAGACTATTCAACAACGTGGGATTTCGTTGTTGGGATTTTATTTTGGTATTTAGAAGACCAACAACACCTTGGATTTCGCTCAAACTCATCTGTCTTGTGTATTTTAACGTAGAAGCCAAATCTGAAAGTTAAAATCATCGTCCGCCTTTACTTTGCGAGAGATAAATTGTTAAAAAATGACATACAAATGGTTAGGAAATCTATTATGCCGGTAATACAGAAACTTATGGTCTGTTCTTTTTCGTCGGAAAGTGTAAGATAGTACATTTAAGCGGGGGAGGGGCTCCCATTCCCCAAGAAATCCTAACCTAACCCAACTTATTGCATCTTTATATTGTTGGACATTGTTGAAAAGATTATAATTATTAAAACCCACGCTCAACAATATATAATAAAGATAAAATAAGTTTGGTTAGGTTAGGATTTCTTTGAGGAGGGCCGCGGAGGAGGGGCGGAGCCCCTCCCCCGCTTACATGACTATTATACATTTTAACGCATTGCGCATGCTTCTTAGTTAAGCCCCTTGCACAATGTAAGGCAACAGGCAATAAGAATAAAAATAGACCAATCACAATAGATTATTCTTGTAATAGTCGATTGTGATTGGTCTATTTTTATTCTTATTGTTTGTTGCCTGGCATTGTGCAAGGGGCCTAGGCCTGGTCTACAATACGTGTCGTAAGTTGTAAGCCGTAAGAATTGGCGAATCACAGTCGATTATTACAAAAATAATCGGCTATAATTGGTCAGTTCTTACGGCTTACAGCTTACAACACGTATTGTAGACCAGGCCTAACGGCTTGTCTACAATAGTTGTAAGAGTAAGGCTGTAAGGCTGTAACGTAAGCTATCAACGAATGAAAATATTTCATTTCGTGTCTTGCAACCTTACAGCCTTATGGCTCCTGCACATAGAACGCGGCAACGCTTGTCGCGCGGTGGAAGTTGGAGCGATCGCCAATCAATGTCCTGCTTTCCTCAAGAGCTGGAAGTTTATTACAGAATAGCGGCACGTTGATTGGCTATCGTGCGAATTTCCGCCGCGCGGCAAGCGTTGCCGCGTCCTGTATGCAGGAGCCATTACTCTTACAGCTAATGTAGACGAGCCTTTAGTCTGTATTATCGGCATGACAAATTTTCTAACCCTATACGTGATATTTTTCAGATTTTTATAACTTTTGATCCGTTTGAGAACGACACTTTTTTCTTTCAAAATCGCGTCCTACGCAACAAAATATACAATTGTGTAAAGTTTGAGCGAAATCTAAGGTGTTGTCGGTCTTTTAAATAATTACCTTTATTTTATTCTAGATTTATATTGCGGACGTTGTAAATTAATATAATAAATAAATAAGAACAATAGTAAGTATTACATGTTATTTATTCCATATGTCCTTTACATACGTTTTATACATTTCATGCAAGTAAATTATAATTACTTTTCATTTACAGCAAAGTACTTTTGATTGCTTACATAATTATGTTTTTTTCTTTTTTTTCAGATAACTATACTGATGATATTAATTTAACTGTTCTAACCTTCAAATTCTTGGATTTATCGGCATATCAGATTTGTGTAAGCATTATGTACATACATGAAAGTGCTTAAAAAACTTGTAAATACAAGTTAAATTATAAATAATACCATTAAGTTAATACATTATTTAGTTTCTGTGAAATGCCACGTTCGAAAGTTTCTGATCTACTTGGTGTACTCAAGGGAGCGCAAAATGTAGCAAATGCTTTGATAAAACATCAGGAAGATGCAGTCAAGTACAGAATCATGCATTCTAGTTTAAAGAATATACCAAAGAAATATGTACAAGCCACAGAAAAGCAATTGAACAATATAGAACCAAGTAAGATTTCTGTAAGTTTTCTGCTCAAACTATGTAAAAAATTATAATTTCACATATATTTTTTTCTTAAAATAATTGTACTTTACAGGAACAGATAACTGAAAACTTAAAAGAAGCAATGGAACGTATTAGTGTGGTTGAAAAAGGTATTAGACAATATATTGCTGTAAATATTAATCAAACTTTGGATATTAAAACCAATTCTTATGTTCCTGAAAAGGAAACAAAACTATATGTGTATAATGTTGCAAAAGATCCTAAAGAATTGCTAGGCACTGAAAAGACCACAGTACCTAAACATGAAACAAACAAATCTGTGGTACAAGAAGCTTCAAAAGATACACAGAATAATAACATGACATGGAAACATATGACAGTAAAGGAGAAGATTCAGACTATTAGCACTTCAAATAATCAGGTACCTGATATAGAATTTTCTAATAAAGACAAAGAAATCTTAAGAAAGTTGGAACTGGAGCATGAGAAAAATATCCAAAGTAAAACTGCAGATTCAGTCTCTTCCACCAGTATTAAAGCACAAGAAAAGAAACATGTACATGCGAAAGCAGAACTTGAAGGAAGACTGGAAGCTAAATTACTTGTTAAGCCAAAGCAATCTGTAAGTATCAAGACAATTTTTCATCTGTTATATCTGATATTCATGTCTTTGTTTAATAATATGTGTGCTGCTGTTATATATGAATCTATATCATAGTTATCACCTACCGCTAGAGAGAGGAAAGTTCCTTCTACGAGATTGCAAAGAATGGTGAGCTTTGGAACCTTGGGTGTTGGTCTTGGTATCGGTACAGTCGCTGAATACACACGCAGAACGTTAGGAATAAAGGAGCAGAGCATTGGAGATACAGTAGACAACATGTTTCTCACTAAAGCCAATGCAGAGCGGATTGTCTCAACATTGTGCAAAGTGAGAGGTAAGATTTATTACAACTGAGTCTGTATACAAGCGAATAAATTATTTCTTATTCTGTAAAAAATAGGTGCAGCTTTAAAAATTGGTCAAATGTTGAGCATCCAGGACAATAACATAATCAGCCCCGAATTGCAGAGAGTCTTTGAGAGGGTCAGACAGAGTGCTGATTTTATGCCAACATGGCAAGTAGAGGTAAACGTTATAGATATATAAATTAATTAATTTATGATTAACACTCACGATTATTTTCAGAAAGTATTGGCAGGCGAACTTGGACACGACTGGAGAAGCAAACTGGCGACTTTTGAGACGAAACCATTTGCGGCAGCTTCCATTGGTATATTGTCGGACTTTCGCGTCTTCATAATTCCGTGTGAGTTATTCCAGTTGTTTAATATACGGTATTAATATAATGTATAATGCATTTCAGGACAAGTGCATCATGGTACATTGCTGAATAAGCAGGATGTGGCGATCAAGATCCAATATCCAGGTGTGGCTTTGGGTATCCAGAGCGACATTGAGAATTTAGTGGGCATAATGAAGGTATAAATGAACAATCTCGAGCAATATGTTTTACATTTTATTAAACGTCGCGTTCATCGCAGGTGTGGAACATGTTTCCGGAGGGAATGTTTATAGACAACGTGGTAGAAGTCGCGAAGAGAGAACTCACGTGGGAAGTGGACTATGTAAGGGAAGCGGAATGTACAAAAAAGTATAAGGAATTTGTAGCATCTTACCCGGAGTACTACGTGCCTACAGTAATAGGTATGGAACAAGAAGGAGATTAAGCATGTGACAACTCGTGGAGATACTTGTGTAATGTTGATCAAATCCGCAGACGAACTCTCAACGAGTCAAGTGTTCACGACGGAAATGGTAGACGGTATCTCCGTTGACAAATGCGCGGACATGGACGTTAAGATTCGCGAACGTATCAGCGAGCTGCTAATGCGACTGAGCCTGCAAGAGCTGTTCGAGTTTCGATACATGCAAACCGATCCAAACTGGTCCAATTTCTTCTACAACCTCGACACAAGACAGGTTCTACCTCTGCGGCGTGATTGTGTATTTGCAATATTTATCGAGAGTCTTAACGAGTACATTTCTTACAGTTGATCCTGTTGGATTTCGGAGCATGCAGAAATTACGAAAAAGCGTTTATGGACAAGTACATTGAAATTATTAATGCTGCGAGCGAGGGGAATCGTGATAAGGTTCTAGAATTGTCGAAAGACATAAAGTTTCTCACTGGATACGAATCAAAGGTATCCTTATTGAACGTTTAACTTTGTAGAATGTTACTTAAAGTGGCACACACAGTACAACCGCAACGATTCATAAAAGTATTAAAAGCTCATTTATTGATAGGTCATGGAGCAAGCTCACGTGGATGCGGTTATGATTCTTGGGCAAGTATTCGACGAGAATCACGAGTATTACGATTTCGGTGGTCAGGACGTCACGAAGCGGTGCGTTCGGCTTGTCTTACATTGGCTTTAACTTATGTTTAATTATTTTATTATTTATATTTAATTATTTAATTATTTATCTGCATTGACTTAATATTTAATTTATGTGCACATTCTATACAAACGTTTTATATCTCACAGGATTCAGACTTTAGTGCCAACTATAATAACTCACAGATTGTGCCCGCCGCCCGAAGAGATATACAGCCTGCACAGGAAACTATCGGGAATATTCCTGCTATGCGCGAAACTCAGAGCTAAGATCAAGTGTCGCGACGTGTTTCGCGAGGTTTATGCTAACTATAAATTTGGATAATATTAATGTTTTAACGTAACAAAAAATGTATATGCATATATATTTCTGTTATATTAGGAAAAAAAAATATATAATGTGTAATTGTTATATCAACATTAGTATGTTGATACAATCGGCATACGTACTTTATTTTGTGTAGACATATTTTGTAGTAAAATTGAAATACATTGCAAGGGACTGCAGTAATTGTAGAATGTATAATTTATTATCGGCAGCAGCTATTTGCGTAGACATTGGATTTACGGGCACAGATGGCGCGATTTGCGCATGGCAATTCGCCGTTTATGTCACATGGAGCAACGTAAACTTGTCAATTATGCGATTTCTTAAAAACACAGCTAGTGACAGTTGCTTTTAATGTTATCGTAAAATGTCTCAAGACAAAATAGGTATAATCTGATACATTTCAAGCATTTATATACATTGCTTCATTCAAGCAAAGCAAATTTATTTGCAGTTGGCACTGACATTCTCTTGGAGTTTTTGGAAATGGCTTTTCATCATGTACTGTTCTTTCGCAAAATCTATCCTAAAGAGATATTCGTTAAAAGAAAAATATACGGAATTGTAGTTTACACATCAGAACATCCAGAATTAAATGAATACTTCTTCAATGCCCTAAATGCGATCAAAGAATTGATAAAGGAGGATGAAAACAGTGTCAAAACCATTAATCTTACCTTTTATAATGCAAACAAGTTACCAATAGAAAGATTCGTCTTTGATATAGTTAAACTGCAAGCAGAGCTTACAGAGTATGTTGAGTATGCAACTGATAATTATACTTAATAATGTATGACTTTGAATTTAGAATTGTTTTTTCATTTTAAGAAAGGACCCTTATTACTTAAAGACAGAAGAAGCTCTGAGAACCATTTGTTTAAAGTTATCAATGTGCGATACATATTTGAAACCTTTACCAGATGGTACAACCTTTTCTATAGAAATTCAAACTTACGAAACTGCACATATCGCTTTGAGTGAAAATCCAAAATGTGAGGACTTTCCATGGGTTGTCAAAGATGATGCAACAGAGATGGTGAACAAAAATCTACTGCCATTGAAAGATATCAAAACTGATTGCTTGAATCTGCAGATGTATGTGATTGAAGATGCAGAAAACAAAAGCTAAGGTTCAAATGATACCTCTTGTATAGTGTTTTATATTTTTATTTCCTATAAAACATAAAAAAGTGTTTACTGCATTTACAGATAGCAACTGTCAAACTTGTCCCATCAGTTTAGATATAAATTCCTTATCTCTGTTCCATAGAATGCTGCAGATGGCATTCAACTGATAGGAGCAATCAAACATTTCTGATCTTACTGATGATTTGCCAGCATCAATTCTGATCACCTTAACTTTCCACTTATCCTCAAATTCTTTGATTTGTGTGTCATCTATGGCAGAACTCGACCAAGGTTTAAACCTAGAAAATATTATATCAAGATTATCATGGTTTTTTTTGTTTCATGGTATGGTTACTGTATAATTAGTCATATTTACTTTGTGCCAATCACTATATTTGCTGGTTTCTCTTTTATAGCAGTCATTGTGTTCATTAGATATGGAATATCATTGAAGCTTGATATATCATCAAAAGAGAAGACAGAACACATTGCATCAACTTTATCCTTGCATGCCTGACAGGATTATTCCTATATTATTTTTCCGTTAGATTAATTGTAAATAGTTATTTCCATACAGAAAAATCTGCACAGGTCATTTTGCACGTACTGGCAGAATATGATTATACTTTTTTATACTGCTTTCTGATGTGTCCCAAAATTGCAACTTGAACAAAACCACCTTGTCCCAGATTTTTACAGGCCAGAAAACATTGGTCTTCCTTATGCCGTTGGTCTCTGTGTAATTATTAGGTTCCAGAATACCTGTAAGTCTCGCTACTACTGAAGTCTTTCCCACACCAGACCTGCCTATCATGAAGATCTTGTAGGTGACCTCCTCGATGGAAGATGGCAATGATGGTCTCTCCAAGATACCTGTAATTGAAAGTGATTCTTCAAATATACCGCAAAAAAGTAAAAACCGGTATGATTTCGATTATTACACATGTTAGAAGCTATATATTATAATACCATAGAATCTCCTCTTTTTTGAAGAATTCACATAAAAGTGGTGAACCAGAGATTCTCCTTCCGCTGAGGCTAGCCAGTTCATATTAATCGCATTCATGTTTCGTCAATTTCACTGCAGAATATAAAAATAATAAAGCACATTCATGTGTAGCGCGGCGAGATGCATAATTGGGTCTGTTCTTTATAGCTGCACTGCAGAATTAGTGCAATAAGTTAGAGTGAGAAAAAATATAGTTGTCTCATTTTAACTTATTGCACCAGTTCAGTAGTGCAGCTATAAAGAACAGATCCATTATTCAATACATCAACAAGTGACACATGCTCAATAGGCCTGTTCGTTTTGTCTGGAACTGGTGCATTATGTTAAAGTGAGACAAACATAGGTTTTTTCACTTCAACTTGTTGCATCAGTTCAGCAGTACAGACAAAACGAACAGGCCTAAAGTAACGTCCCTCACAATAAAATTCCCTATCTTCTATCTTCTCACCAAACCTCACCATAACTTTTCCTATCCAATCAAATCCTTACCTATCATCGACTAATCCAACTGCAGCGCCTCCTACAAACACCTCTGCAATCAACACGTACCTCTGCCGTCTTTTATTGTTAATATAACTGGTCTGTTCTTTGTAGCTGCATTGCTGAACTGGTGCAATAAGCTAGAGTGAGAAAACCTATATTTGTCTCACTTTAACTTATTGCACCAGTTTAACAGTGCAGCTACAAAGAACAGACCAAATATCATTACTACTCGAAATTGTTTACTGAATTATCATCTATCTGTTTTTTCTCTCTCTTCCATCTACTTTCTTGCTTCGTTTAATAAGCGATAGATTACCAAATAATTGAATAACATAAAAATAATACTAAATAGCATATCTTGAAATAAAATTAACATTAACATAGGACTGAAGCAGACATCGACATAGTAAATATATAAAATAAGAAAGGAGAGAATAAGAAAATTTAAGGAATAAATTTAGAGGCCTTCTACAATAAGCAATTAGTCATAAGCTATAAGCAAATTGACCAATTACAATTGATTATTTCAAAAATAATCGACTGTGGTTGGTCAATTTGGTTACAACATATGATGAATTAATAGCTTATTGTAAAAGGCCCATAGAGCTATAATAATCGACTGCCATTGGTTAACTTCTTATAGCTTAAAGCTTAAATCACCTATTATAGACCAGGGTTAAAACTTAACCACGTCCCTTCCATCTACCCTATTATAGATATTGTTAAAATAAGTATTACCGAAAAGCTCCTCTGCCGAAAAGAACGAGGAGAGCCGGATGGCGGATTCAATTGAGGCGTCTGTTAAAAGATTATTATAATCCATGCACGTTCGACCCGAGTGTCTTCAAAACAGCTCTATCACAATCCTCGGTCCCGAGAATAAAATCTGAAATAAAGGGAAATATATTTGAAGTTAAATTTAATACTAGCGAGAATACTATTACCTTTAAACCTAACAGTAACCCACTTCCAAAGGCAACAGTTCAAATAATAAAGATTTGGACAAGAATAGCGCTGATCCGAAATAAACCAAACGAATCTAGACATCACATGTTCTATGCTTGTCCACAACGTAACACCAGACCAAGCAGTGTAGATTCCATGCAGAGAATGTGAAGTTGACATGTGACAAGGAGAGAATGCGATTTTAGTATTTTTCTCCCTCTCTTCCTCTTTCTCTCTCTCTCTCTCTCTCTCTCTCTCTCTCTCTCTTGCTAATCAATGGCTGATCTTTTCATATCCGTTTATTTAAAAATCTTAAGTTCGTCTACAGATACTGTACGCCTCATTTCATTGGTTATGAAACATCTGAAGATGATTTATATATAAGGCGATCTTAAAATAAGATACGACTATCAATATCGTCCAATAACTTTCATCGTTAATTTATTTGAAGAACTACTGAACCAGTGCAATAAGCCAGAGTGAAAGAGAGAGTATTCTTGTTTCTCACTCTAATTGATTGCATTCTTGTCGAAAAATATTTCGAGAACAGGCAGAACCAAGATCTATTCTTTCGGACTGGACTGAAGCGCTGCGCTGCAACTTCGTTCCTTTTCCCTTTAACGTCTATACACTTGTCTCTCACTCCAACTGCAGCAAGTGCAAGCCAGCTCGGCGAGAACGAACAGACCTCAAAGAGATTCAACGCGCGCGCCTTTTTGAAATTGGCGAGCGCAGCGCTCATGCAGGCCAATGAGCGCGCATCCCGCCTTGACGACGGCCAATCCGCGGGCGCGTTGAACGGCAGGGTGAATAAGACGGTGCGCACGATTGGCCGCGCTACCGGCGTCGGTTCGAAACGGTCGTCGCGCCAGCCAATGGGCGGAGTGCGCGCTACGTAACGGGTAATCGCGACCGTCCCGCCATATTGTGTATGCAGCGCGGGTTAGTGGCGCGTGTATATGGGTGTTTTGTGAAGATCTTCTTTATCACGGAAAGTTACACAGGTCATTGCATGAGCCTGTCTGACTAACGGGCTGTATCGCGCGCGCAACATGGATCCAGCGAAGTTGAAAGTGGTGGAGTTGCGGGCGGCACTGGCGGAGCGTGGCCTCGACACCAAGGGCAACAAGCCAGTGCTCGTCGAGAGGCTACGCAAGGCGCTGGAAGAAGAAAGCCAGGAGCGTAAGTCGTACCTGTCATGCACCAACAAGTGTCCCGCGTCCTCGCGGTCGAACGCCGCGATCGCAGTTTCTGCTCGACTGCCGTGCGGATGCGATCGATCTTGACGTCGCGCGACGCGGCTACTGGCCGCCGAAGCTGGCTGCTGCTCACCGCCACGCTTCACGGACGCCTCGCGACATCGTGAAACGTAGCTCGTCGTTGACTGCTAGTAATATCTTGACGCTGCCGTATTGAGTCATGCGACTTTGATTCTATGCTTAACCGTGACTTAATGCGACGTTTTTTCGCTTCTTTTCATGCTTACATGTGAAATTCGAGTTTTAGATTCTGTTTATTTCTCTTTATACTCCATTGCACTGTGCACTATTTGTGACAGAGTAGGAATTTGTATTATGAATACATTGATAGCATTAAAAAATGTACAGTGTAACAAATATTGTGAATATTGAGATATTGTTTACCAAATTGTGTAGGATAAAATTGAAATATGTTGATTCATCTCTTACAGATGTTCAAGACAACCCAGCTCTGCCTACAGAAGATGTAGATGAGACAACAGTGAAAGAGACATCTGAAAGAATTGTGGAATCTACACGATCTTCACAACCACCGAGGACACCTAGTAGAGCGTCAAGAAGCTCTACAATGGTAACTCCGACAAAAATTTCGACTAGAAATGCATCGAGGACTAGCATAACTCCGAATTCTTCAAAGCAATCCTCTCCGAACAAACCTCAGTACATTGAGAAGACACGCGAGGTATTAGCGACAATATCAGAGTCTACCTCCGAGGAACCTTTAGTACAAGAGAAAATATCAAAATTATCTCCTGAGAAACACAAGGAAGAACAGAAAGACATGGCATCGGAGATTCTTCAGAATGAAACTTTTGTTCAGATGTCACCTGAGAAACCTCGGGAAAATGAAGCAAAGCATATTGATGATTTAGAAGATGATGGGTGTGAGATGAATGTTTCTCAAGTACCTGCGTCAGAACCGTCTGAGAAATCTAGTATAATTGAACATGTAGATCAGTTTTCTAGAACTCTGGAAGAAACAGAGGAACCTAGTGTAGATATGGTTAGCAATGTTCAGCAACCGTCGCCTAGAGCATTGGTTGATAAAACAAAAGATGTTACAAAGCTGGAAGAAAAGACAGAAGTTAAAGATGATATAGATATTGAAATGGAAGATGATAATTTTGAAAAGGATGTTGAAGATAAGAGTTCAGTTGAGGAAGAGAATATTGAGCATGTAGAGGATACATGTAATGTTAAGGATAATGTAGACATTCCGAAAGTTGAGCAACCAACACATGTGACTTCTGATCAGATTGACAAAATATGTGATGTTGAGTTAAAGGACAAGCAAAAGGTTATTAACGACCGCTGTACAGAGCCAGAAAACAAAATGGATGTTTCAGATAATATGGAAGATATGGATGACAAAATGGATGATACTAATGATTCACAAAATGAGCAGGTATGTGATTTGTCTTATGTGCAAAATAATATACTTGAAGGAATAAAGATAAGTTACAGGTTTAATTTAAGATATTATATATGTTGTACTTTGTTGTACATGTAATTAGATTGTATATTTAATTAATTAAATGTACAATTAATTTAATTAATCATAAAAAACTCTTTCTAATTGTTGATTTATTTTCTCTTGTATGGTGAAGGACGTGAAGGACGTGAAGATGGAGGCGAAGCAAGATGTCAAGTTAGACACGGACGAGTCGAATCAAAAAGAGTGCAAGGACAGGAAGAGGAAAAGATCTCCCAGCCCGGTGGAAGTCCGCCAGCCGTCTCCTGCTCTGCACAAACGCGAGGAAGAGCTAGATTACGACGAATATGCCGTGATTTTATCTTATTGTGAGTACTCGTGAATTTCATGCACCAACTGCCAAATTTTAGCACGTGTAACTTGACAAGATCAACGGAGTGTACATATTCCATGGAATTTTCCTTTCAGATGACTCGGACTTAAACTTAATCATCAACAAGAACGGATTTTATTCCGCGACACCCATGCACAACGACGATCTCTGTCACATGTGGGCCGGCTCGAGAGCGTCCTACGGCTTCACAAGCGGCAAGGTATATTACGAAGCAAAAATTACGGAGAACTGCCTAAGCGCCTCGCAGGACAAGGAAAAGTTACACATGTTCAGAATCGGCTGGTCGACTCTCGGCACGTCGATGCAACTCGGCGAGGAGAGATTTAGTTACGCGTACACGAGCACCGGGAAAAAAGGTACCAACAAGGAGTTTACGGACTATGGGCCGCATTTTGGCAAGGACGACGTTGTGGGATGCTACCTCGACCTGACGGCTGAAGACGCTGTGGAACTGTCGTACACGTTGAATGGCAAGGAACTGGGACCCGCCTTCAGTATCTCGAAGGAAGAACTCGGCGAGAGGCCGTTGTTCCCGCACATCTTGAGCAAAAACTGCGCCTTTGTCTGCAACTTTGGGCAAGAGGATGCGTGGTGCGAACAAATCCCGGACTACGCTGCGGTGGGCAACGTTGAACTGAAGGACAGGGTTGCTGGCCCGCGTAGACCGGACGGAAGAGCCGACTGCGAAGTGATCATGATGTGCGGCCTGCCGGCGGTGGGGAAAACCGCGTGGGCGAGGAAGCACGCGGCCGAGCACCCGGACAAGCAATACAACATCTTAGGAATCGACAACTTGGTGGAGAAAACGGGGGTGAGTATCTTGGAGCGGAGGGTCTCAAAGTCCGACACGTGCAGCATGGTCGTTTGACGCAACACTCTTTTCCGGCAGGACGCCGCTCTTTGTCAAGAACAGAACCAGCCTCGGCGGGAAGTCATTATCGACAAGTGCAACCGCGCACTCGACGGGTTGCTGGACATGGCTGGCGGCAGAAGACGCAACTACATCTTGGATCAGGTATGCGAGATGATACACATACGTAGCTTTGTGAAATCCTTGTCGTCGCGAGCGTCGCTTGAAGAGAAAACTTCTATGATGTGCACAGAGAAGCAACATGTACTCCTCCGTGCAAAGGCGCAAAATGCGGTACTTCAGCGGCTATCAGCGAAAGGCAGTGGTCGTAATGCCAGCGGACGAGGAGGAATACAGCCAACGTTTGTCCACGCAGGATGCAAGGAAAAGCGTCTCAGACTCGAATCTTATGGAGATGAAAGGTACTTGTTCGCATCGTATAGAAAGATTTATCAGGATTAATGTAAATAAGTTTGAGTATTTGACCGAAACTGCGTAACAATCTTTCATTTGCAAGTGTATACATAAAAAACGTTACGTTTAAATATTAATTTTTTTATACGCATGTACGCGTGTTATATTTCTTCTCTTACGCGATTAGATTAAAAATGAAGTTGACAATTTATTGTCAGTTCAGTTAATTTTATTGTTATCGTGACTTGAATTTGTGTAGCAAACTTCACTGCACCTTCGGTGGGAGAGTTCTTCGACGCGGTAGAGTGGGTTGGACTGAACGAGGAAGAGAGTAAGAAGCTCATCGAGAAGTACAACAAGGAAGGTAAGGAAGCCGGGTTCGGCCAGCAGCAGCCGACGAAGCGCGCCCGTTTCGACAAGAACGAGGCCGGCAACAGGGAGATGCGTGACTCCCGGAATAACAGAGACACACGGGATCATCGTGACAGAAGAAACAATTGTAAGTCGGTTGTTATCAGCGATTTTCTTCCCGTCGAGTCGGTCAGTGCCGCGGCTACTTATAGCGCGCTTGCAACCTAGATCAAGACAGAGGACGCAACCCTCCTTGGCGTGGCGGCAGCAGCATGGGTGGCTGGAGAGGAGACCGACCACAAAGGGGCGGCTACATGAGGCATACTGGCTATGGACCTCCCGCTCCGTGGAGAATACGAGGACGAGGACTCGCGATGCGAGGGGCGGAACGACGTGGCGGTGGTGCTGACAGGAGACAAGGGAATGACAGAAACCGACAAGTCGCCGCTAGACAAGGGGGTTGGGGTCCCATGAGGTAAGTTGGCCTTCTTGCTATCGCATCAATTTTGAAAAAGAGGCTTGAAAAATATGGAAGGCATCTTAAGAGTGTCATCAAATCTTTTAAACTCGTCTCGTTTCTCGCTTATTTCACTTCATTCCTCAAAATGCGGCGTGTTGGTCAAATTTAGACAACGGATTCATGTCTCCAGCGGTCAGAAACGACCATTCGCACTCGTGGAGGCAGAAGAGATCAGTCTGCCTCTGCTTTTTCTTCGTTGCCAATAAATAAGTGTGCTTGTTTCCGTTTCAGCAGTAGTTATCAAGGATCACAGCAGTCCGGGTGGGGCCAGCAGGACAATTGGTCTGGCGGCCAGTCGCAAGGCAGCTGGAACCAGCAAGGATGGGGCCAGCAGCAGCAATGGGGAGGCAATTGGAAAGGATACGGCAGCAGCCAAGGGGCGTACAACCAGGCGGGATACAATCAGGGGCAACAGCAGGGCTACGGCAACGGCAATTGGAACAGTTGGAACCAGCAGTATTACAACAATCAACAGTATTGGGGCCAGCAACAACAGAGTGGACAGACCACTGCAGCTGGCGGCCAAGCTGTAAGCAAAAAATAATGCACCACGTAAATCTTGCGAGAACGGAACAGAGAGTAAGGTATAGATTATACCCATCTTTTTCGTATGCATATACTATTAGAGAAAGACTTAGAGAGAAAAAGAAAGAGAGAGAGAGAGGGGGGGGAGAAAGCCTGTTCCTCGTTGATCGTTATCCTTGAAACTTGCGTGTTTCGTTCGGAGAAGAGGGCGGGGGAAGAGTTTTGGAAAACTACGTTCGCAATGTCATGAAAATTGTTGAAAAGAAACACATCGTGGGGGGGGGGGGATAAATATCTCAGGGGCAAAATTCAGAAAATACCATCTCCGCCGACTGGTTAACTTCATTTGTAACTTATGTTCTCTCGAATCACCCTTGGCTGCCGACGCGATCGCGGGCGAATTTTTGTACTCACACACGCGCACATTCGTAGGAGATCGCAAATGAAACGGCCGCAGCAACCTCTACCGACACGGGGGCAGGATACAGCTACTCGCAAGGGTGGCAGAGTTACGCGCAACAAGGACGAACCACAACCGCTCAGAGCACAGCGACATCGACCACGCAGCAGCAGCAGTCCCATTCACACAAGTAAACGAAAGAGACTCGCGTCGCGATCATATCACAGCACACGCATTCACAAGTGTTTGAATTTTCTTGCAACATGTAAGTGTAACATGGAATATTTACGTCAATACAGGCAGTGACTATACACGCTGTAGTCACGACGAGGGAACTTGCAGAACAGATTTCGGTATTTTTTTTTGCGCGCGCGTGCACGCGAGAAAAAAAGCGCCACTATCGCGGCCATATGAAGTGAAGATGCATTTGCGAGAGAGCGGCGATTGCGAGAGAAAGGTCGATTTCCCCGGCGCGAGAAGGATCAATTGTCCGGTCCCTGATCCAACGATATTTATTCGAGAAAAATTCAAATAGTGCACACGTGCGCTCGTGGAGCGCGCAGCTGTGTGTGAAGCTTTTTGAATGGGTTTGTGCCTCTTGTAAATATGTACGACGTTATATATTCTATGAGAGAGATAACGTTGCCTCAAGGTCCGAGGCACAATTGATGCTTGCGGGCTTCGGAGACCCTTATCGGAAACACAGGTCTAATAATCTAAGTGCATTAACGACACAGTGTAACGGTCACATGGGCGAGAAAGGATGTAACTTTTTATCGCGCCTTTTCGAGGAGAACGGCACACGCGGAGGAAGGGGGGTACAAGGGGAGAAGAGAAGAAAAAAGAAAACGCGAGAGGAAGAGTATTACGTATGGGTACATAACACGCAAGTAGCATTAAGTTGAAGAGGAAGATACTCTTAATTATTATCCGTATACCCTCAGAGAATTGTGTAAATATGTACAGATTTAAAGTAAAAAAAAAAGGGGGGATAAAAAGAAAAAAGAAACAAGGAAGAAAAAAGGTTAAGCAGAAAAATATTAATCTATTTATACAATGGATATATATAGAGTTTTCTCCTGTAGCGTAAAGCCTTTAGAATGGGTGCCCTTTTGAAGAAAGAGAAAAAAAGAGCGATATATACAAGAAGAAACATACAAGCAGCATACACGACACACATATTATATACATGTATAAGATACAGTATATGTGTACACACGTGTGTGTGTGTGTGTGTGTGCATGTACATGTATATTGTATAACATTTTGTCCTTATCTTTCTATTGTATAAAAGGAGAATATTGTGTAGCGTAAATAAATTATTCTTGGACACACGTTTTATACATGCAGGTTTTTCATCGCACGAAGTGAACGGATCAGGCAAGTTAGGAGGGGAGGGGGGAGATATATATATATATCATCGATTTCTGCGTACTCTCTGTCTCTATATTGCCGTAGATTCGTTGCGTTACATCTCAAGGTGACACACCGACGCGAATAAGGACTTGCTGCAATAATCAGCTTTGTCACACACACACACACACACACACACACACACACACACACACACACACACACTCTCTCTCTCTCTCTCTCTCTCTCTCTCTCTCTCTCTCTCTCTCTCTCTCTCTCTCTCTCTCTCTCTCTCTCTCTCACACTCACTCACTCACTCATACACACAATTCCGTGATGTTTGTACCTACCTATTGTATTTTCTAGTTTTCTTTTTCCTCGGCGTATGCGTCATCTCGGTACGTGGTTATTATTCACAGGATAAAGTACGGTCAATATTCGCCTCCTTCGCACTGACCACGCCGACAACGGCGTCTTCACACTGCGTATTTCACTTGGCGCGTTATCGCCCAATCGCCCGGCGTGCGGTATTTCGGAATCGTGGCTTAAAAGACTTACGATGCATTTGTTACCCTACGTACTTCCTCTGCTAGGACAATTCGATTTTCCTTGCTCCATCTCGAAGGTCGAAAAAAAAAAGAATCCCAACATCAAGCGACACGACAGCGTCTTGTGCAAAGTGCATATACACGAGAGCCATGTGTGCGTATGTGTGTGTATTTATGCGACGCTCACACGAGATTTTCGTAGCGCTGTTAACGAACGATTGGACTGCGATTGGATTCCGATTCAGGCGGACTCGGTTCATCGCTCTCGGGGTCCTGTAATGAAGAGATATAGTAAATTTCTTACTGTAATGTGAGAAAATTGTTCTACCCCTACTACTGGAAATCGTGTGTCTCTCTATATCTGCACTTTGTACACCGATGATATATTTTTATATACATACAAATATCGTTTTCTTAAATATATATATATATATACACATATATATTATAAAATATATTATATGTGTAATATATATTATATATTATAATATATATATATTATATGTGAAATGTATCGCATGTATATACAGGTATTTCCTAGACGCCGCCCGATATATTTCAAGAGTTTGTTCTTGAGGCCATTTTATGAGGGAAAGTTTGTACGAATATGCGGTCCCTCCCCCCCGGAGGCTTCGTTTTGGGGATGAAGGATGTAAGAAGTTTTGTAAAATTATCGTCTCGTCTTAGTGGCTCCTAAGAAAAAGAGGTTTCTCCCGCTCGAACTCGGGCCGGTGATTTACTTACTTTTACGGGCAGATATTGCCTTTATTTTAGACTTACAGCTTCGTAAGAAGACAATGGCGTAGGAACAGGGTTGAAGCAGTAAATTGCTGCCTCGAACGTCATCAGGGAGAGTTAAATTCTTTTTTTGCAGATTTTGTTTTGTTAATTATCTAGTGCTCTAAGTCTTTTTCGACACATTTAAAGCTCGTTTCTACGCTGGTCTTTCTTGGAGAAGAAACCTCTTCGTTTTGGAGCCATCGAGAAGAAGCTTTCCTGATTTTGTATAATTTATAGCGTCCTGTCTTTAGAAATGAGGCATTTGAGACGATGTAGCTTTTGCTAACGATGTAAACTTTTCTTCGTGAAATGAACCCAAGAGTCAACTCCTACAACATCAGACGGTACTCAAGGAGCAACTTGTGCGCACATACAGGCGCGATGTGTTTCATCATCATTGACCTTGAGAATATTAATCGCACGACCGCTGATTTACACGCGGATCCACAAAGATTGTACGATTAATTATGCGTTTACAAGTCGCTTTTTTAATTGATAACGCCGCTTGGAAGTGCTGAACGTCCGAGAGAAATCTCACGAGTCAAACGGACGATCTGTTCTCTCATCGCATCCCATCGCTTCACTCACTCGCGGAGAAGAGACCCTCTTCTCCTTTTTTTTTTCTATTGCGTTACTGCAGAATGATTGTCTCGTTAGCTCGTTTGTTCTCGGAGGAACGTACTGTACAGTGTGTGTGATGATGTCGCGAGTTGCACACACTTCTGCGTCTGTGCAAACTCGAGGATAATTTAATGATTAAGCGATAATACACAGAACTGTAGACATTACGAGAGAAGACACTTAGGAAACGAAAGGGACGGGGAGGAGAGGTACGCGTGTGCAAGAGAGGAAGGGGGAAGAAAAGCAAGCTATTTTCTAAGGAATAATCAGAAGCTCTATTTAACCTACACGTATATATAGTGTATACTAGTACCTCTGTGTTACCAATAAGCGAAGAAAACAGAGCCGCACGATGTCGAGTCAGCGGCAGAGGGGTTGCGGTGTTCGTTTCTCTCTCTCTCTCTCTCTCTCTCTCTCTCTCTCTCTCTCTCTTTTTCTGTCTCTCCCGAGTCTCACAACGCATCTGTATGTATAATAGGAGAATTTACCATTGGACAGTTCTCGCAGGATTGATTTCCCTCTTGGAAAAACACCAGGTGCGTTCTGAGGCTCGCCGAAAGAGAAAAAAGAGAGAGAGAGAGAGAGGGACGAACGCTGCAATCTTTTTGCCGTAACCGCTTGTGGGTCGCACTGGGTAATACGACGATCACGCGCGGTGATCTTTTTCTATACGACGGAAGCAAGCAAAAAAAAAATCAGTATATAATCTATAAACTTAATTGTTGACAAAAATGTACAAACTTATTCATAAAAATAAAAAAGATTCTTCTATTTATTTTGGCTTTCACCTGTATTTTACAACTATATATAGCTCTCGCGTGGTGTGCGTGCGTGCGTGCGTACGTGCGTGTCCGTGTGTGCGTAACAATAATAGTAACGATAATACTAAGATCGTTTTGCATAGACGCGGCGGCGATTCAGTCTTCAGCGTGGACTTAGTGACCCCGCGTGATTCAGCAACTCGCCTTCCTCCTTGTCTTCTTGCGGAGGAGCGCAAGCGGCGGATCGCGCTCGAAGCAAGAATACGCGTGGCAGCCTATGTAATAGTATGAATATGTAAGGAAACTTCATGTGTATTTGTGTTCGTCAGAGTACAATACAATGGTCTGTACATGCACTACATGAGAGTAGCTGAAAAGAGTAGCCCGTCGTCGTCGCAATGATAGCTTGTTTGTTTGTTCTCTCTCTCTCTTTCTCTCGTGTTGCTCTTTTGATTATATAAGTGTTACAATAGCGAGTTAATAATTATTACATGAACGAACTCAGGAGGCAAGTTTATTACACACAGCTACTGTGTTACGAACTGTTATCGACTGCTGAGCAAAAAGAGGAGAAGAAAGAAGAAAAAAAAGGGAAAATGCCGCTGATGCATCTCGTGTGGCATCGATGTGCACGCGTGTGTGTGTGTGTGTGTGTGCACACATACACGCACACAAATAAACATACATACACACATACATTTGTACGACGGTTGAAAGAAGAAATGAAGAAATAATCTTGATTGATGGGTACGTGAGCACAGTCGGCTGATTAAGGCTCGCGACGTATTCCGCAAGGCCAACTTGAAAAATGTTGGCTAATGGAAAATCTAGTTCCGGACCAACCAAAATTGAAGAACTTGAAAAATGGATTTCTCCCGACTGAACGACTGATTCATCGAAGAGCGGCGTCACGCAGCTTTCAGTCGCAGCCGACTGTGCACTCGGTTCCCGTGCGGTTGCGACGCTCTTCCTTCCGGTTGCAGTCTGGGACTCGTCTGGAAATCTGTCTTTGATCTGATCTCGAAACTGCAACTCGAGAGGAGCGAGCGTGTAAGGTCGCTCGATGCGAGAGAGAGCTTTCTCGCGATTGGAATGACCCGGTTAGACGTAGGACGAGAGATACTCTCAGGGCAGGTCCTTCCTACTCCTTGGTGAGTTAACTGATGTTTAGATCATACGTCTGTCTTTGTCTGAATTGAAGAAAAAACAGAGACAAACATATGATTCAACCATCAGTTGAACTCAGCAACAAGTTGGAACAACCGGCCCTCAGAAGTGAGAAAAGAAGAACAATCGTACCTTGCCAATATCTTTGAGTACGAAAATACAATAATGATCCTTTTATTGCGCGCGATACATCGTCTTTCGACCGACCTCGTCGACTCTTAGCCGTTAACATGCGAATCGATAAGAACTAATTAAACACATGCTCTCGGAAAGACGCGTTCCCGGCGCAATTGTGTATAAACTGCGTGTGTGATAATAATATCCGTTCATAATATTGTACGAAACATCCAGTAACATAATTCGTATGTGTCGTAGCACGCGGTCTCGCACATTACACAACTAACGATGCTTTCGACGAGAGAAGCTATCTGACTAAAGCTCGATGCCTATACATGTCACTGTAGATCTGTTAGCGTCGCTATCACACGAGAGATCGGGAAGGGTGAAGAGAGGAGAAAAAGAGAAGACAAAGGAGGGCTCCGTCGGTCTGTCCGATTCAGACTCGGCGAACACATCGTGTAACGTAGCAGTGTCGAGTGCACGATTAAGCGCAGAAAAGGCAAAAAAAAAGCATAGAAAAATATTAGCCGAGTAACTTCACAAGTAGCCGAGAAGAAAAGCATCTCGCACATAACACACACACACACACACACACCCATACACTCGTGCATAATGATACAATAATATAATATAATATAATAATAATAATAATACATAGACGCCGTGTAAGATCGCAAGTATATTTTAGAATAAACTGATATCCTCTCAATTATTGCCATCGTTGTCTTCGATATCAATATGATACACAGATACATTCCTCGCGTTGTACTCTTAACGGATAAAGATCGCATCGAAACAATCGGATGGTGGAAAATGATGCAACTCACTCACTCTCTCTCTCTCTCTCTCTCTCTCTCTCTCTCTCGTGTCATGGAAAAAGGAAATGCGCGGCGGTTCGAGGTCGCTTGGCTTCTTTCCGCGATACGCTTCTCCGGAAACCGACGAGTACGCAGCTTTGAGTCTCTCCGCCTGAACAATAGCTCGCACATACCGCGTGTCTCTCTCAGTGTTTCTCGCTTTCCTTTTATGGTACATCAGCTTACATTAGAAGGCCAGCTTCGAAGTCTAGAGAGTGTCCGCCTTACCTTCCTTCTCTTTTATTTTTGGATTACACAATATAATAAATATCTCGATGACATTACCCAGTGACACATCGAATAAAAATGGCAAGCACTTGTTGCAAAAGGGAGAAAAAAAAACAGAAGAATTTGTATAAATAAGACTCTATCATGCACGATTAAACAATCAGATTGCGAGGGGCCTGCAAGAGCCGGACGGGTGTTACAAGTGCGAGGGACAAAGAAAAATATCAGCGATCGCAAAGCACCATCAGCATTTTTGTACCCGCTTCTTCCGTCGACTGTCGCGATTGCATCGCGTCGATTCGCATGATTTTTGTTACATCGAGAGGAATTGTGATGGGAACTTGTGTGGTATTGCGTCATGTTTCACACTCAGCCGATAATCTTTTATATGCCTTTGTCTCACGCACTTACAGCTCGAGTTCAAGCGTCGCAGACCCGCTATGATCCCATTTCTCGAAGGAAACGGGGACTTGTTGATTAAATAAAATAAATAGCTCTCGTATATAAATCTCGCGTTCAATATACACAAAAGCACGCTGCCGCGCCGTTTTTAATACGCATATATATGTACATAAACGTATGTATATATATAAATATACATGTATTATAATAATATAATATATATTCGAGTACTTTTTTCATTATACGATATATTATATTAGAATAATATATAATCTTTATATATATATATATATATACATACACTCCTTCGTCTTGCGCCGACGTGAACGTAATACCGCGAGAATAAATCTCTGCACGAAAATAAAATCTACCTTACAGTCTAGTACGAACGAAAAAGAATAAGGAAGCAAGATGCGTATCAAAGGTGTTTATATCGTAATATGTATCTACCATACTGTGTAATGCAATAATAAATATGGAGCCTTGCGGGTATACATATATACAACATTGGAATCACCGCGATGGCTGTCCAGTCGCACTCCGACTACATAATTCAATATATATATGTATATATATATATGTGTATATATAATATATACCAATAAATTAAATATATATTAGTAAAGATTCTCCCGCGAACCGGAAGAAGTTATGTTACACTTTGATGGCTTTGAATAACACACACCGGGGTTATGAAAAATATAATATTATACTTCTGTGCAATAAAGCGTCAATTACTCGCGCGCGCACATTCGTACACACACACACACACACGCACGCACGCACGCGCGCGCGCGCGCGCGCACGCACACACACATACACAACATACATACGCGCGCTATTTATATCGACTCTTTCAACACACACTCGCACTGGGTAAAACGTTTATCCTTCCGACGATCTTAATCCCATGTAACATGTAATTTGTACATTTTTAGTCATGTTAACTATGATGAAAAGAAGCTATACAAATGATTCTATACAAGAGCACGCGACTCGTAATTATATACGATACGTAGAAGCTCATGTCGTTCCGGGGAGAAACGATTAATTAATTATTCGCCACTTCGCTCGTAACATGATCTCTGATTGATTATCGCGCGAGTCAACAAACGTTTCAATCCGTTTTGCTCGAAAAGGTCGGAAGCAAACCGAGTGGATACACGATATCTAGCCTCGTCTACTTGAGAGGAAAGGGGATAAAAAAGAAAAGGATGGATCGTAAGAAAAATATCGCCAGACACAATCGCCTACTCTGAACGAATATTTCACCCTCGCGACTACGGTATATCGATATAAATTATATCAATGGACGGGCTGTACGCGAGAAGAGGAGACACGCATTTCCCTCACTTCTTTCGTGCTTTCCTCGGAAGGGGAGTAATGTACAATTATCCTGGCCGACAGCGGAACCGAAATGGATCAACCACCTAGCTTAGCCGAGAGCCTAGATTATTCTGACTGAGATTGAAGTTAGTTAGCAACTCGTTTAGCCTATGTACAATATCAATATTATCGTTGTGATATCACCCACTGTCACGGATTAAGTCCGCCGGGTCTTTTTCGGTTTCGTCTGTTCCTCTCGAGGAGGAACGACAGATCTAACGGGTCTTTCTTGTTCGGCATCTTCTGCAGCAGGTGCAGGAGGATGCTATTTAGTCGTTTCTTCTGGTCTTCCCTCTGCGAAAAAAGCTGGAATTGAGTAACGGCATCGCCACAAGCGACAATACAACAACTCACGTGCGATTGTTGTACCTGAAGATACGACGTCGTGGACGTGGCAATCGTCAGGATATCGCCGCCGGATCTCCGCCTGGTCCTGCTACCGGCGCACTTTTGCTCCTTGCCCTGCGCCTTTGCGCTGTCACCGGACTCCATCTTCTGACTCCCCTCCACCTCATGATTGTTGTTGTTCTTCTTCTTGTCCTTGGACAAGAAGAACTTTTTGCCGAGCTGGATCCCGTCCAGGCTGTGAGGCTGCAAGTGCGGCATATAATAAAATATGTGATACACGCAGACATGTAGATGTGATATATTTTTATATAATGCTCGGGAGAAATTTTCTCGATGATAGAAACAATCAGAGGCACTTACCAAGTAGGTGCGATAATGCTTTATGCGCTGCGGGAAGGTCTCGAACGCGTACGGTTTCGTACATACTTGGTGCCTGGCTCGGGACACCTTCGTGAAGAGCCGCGCCGCGCGATCAACACGGTACTCGCACACGTAGGTGTGCTCAGGAGTAGAGCCGACCGGGCGACCTGAATGCCAAAATGAAGAGATTAAGAAAGTTAATTCTCGCCGCGCAGTCTCGATGATATCGTAAGCGCCAGGTGGCATGCACCTTTGCAGAAGGTGTGAGGGTCGAGCACCCAGCAGCGCTCGGCCACGAGGTCGCAAGGTACGGCCTCGTACAGCGGAGCGCACACGACCTCGTTGACGTAGAACTTCCGCGTCGGCTCGTGATATGTTTCGTGAGGCCGCAGGTAGTGATGCCCGAACACAAACCTCTCACCCCTGTTGAGCAAATTATTCTGAAACACTCTACACAGGCGGGCCAAAATTAATCAACACACAACTGTACGTGTAAATTACTTACGCGACGTTTTTCCAGAGACGTTCGATTCTGAAGATGTCCATCTGCTCGTAGTCGGGCTTTTGTATGGTTTTGTACGTGTGCTTCTCGGGTGTGTCTCTCAGAACGTACACCGTGTCGCCTTGCCGGAGCTGCAGGTCGCCCCGCAAGAGCGTCACGTAATGCTTCTTGCCCTTCTCCTCGTCGTCGCAGTCTGACGGGACCTCCAGCTCCAGTGGGATCTCTAGGTCGACCTCGCGCGGCTGACACCTCTCGCAGAGGTAAGACTCGACGCTGGTGTCCGCCTTCACGCAGTCGCAATGCTGCCAGACGAGACAACGCTCGCACTGGATCATCAAGCCTTCGTCCCTGCGCAGAGAAGAGTCGCGAAGATGTACTTCAAAGAACTCGTACGCAACGATATATTCAATATATCACGATGCGTGTCGCAGAACGCAATCAGAATTGAGAAATAACTTGTAACGCGCCGTTAAAGATCACTTCTTTTCCAGTAATAATTTGTTAACGCTACTTTCTTCGTCAACAGACGATCGGGGCGTACCTGTGCAATCCGCAAATACACCTGATCACATCCTCCTCCCCAGCCGTGGAGCCCCGAGGTGGCAGAAAGCCCTGCGACGGCGGAGTACCCATTGCCTCCGTGATAGCGTCCACAAAGTCGGGCTTGCTCCCAAGATACAATTTCCGCAGCCTCGCTGCGGCGATGCCGATCTCGGACGTCCTGCCGAAGAATCTCACGTTGTTGTCGAACAACTTTATCATGTCTTGGTCAAAGTGCTCCGCAGTCTTGTAGTGACCGGTGCCGATGCACTGGTCTATCGTGCTCAAGTCGACGGGCTCCGTGATCTTCTCATAGTAATCCGGCAATTTTCTCTTAGGCGGCAGGGTCATGAACGGCGTGCACAGCGGCTGTCCGTTCTCGTCATTCGCCGTCGCGACGATTGTGTATAAATCTTTCAATACCTGCGAAAGAGAAGAGAAAAATCGCTATACAGTGACAACGCCTCTGCTCCCGCCGTTCCGAGCTTTGTTCGCCTACCTTAGCTAATTTCGCAGTCTTGTGTACCTCCGGGTCGTCCTGGGCCTGTGCGAGCCTGCGCGTCCGCACGGTCCGCGCATTCGTGTTCGTCAGCGCGGTCAGCTGCGAGAAGAACGCGTCAGACTGCGCCTTCGAATCGCCGGCGGCCTTCTCCTTCGCAGCGCTCGCGTTGCCGAATTTCGTCTTGCCATTCTGCACGTGCACCTGCTGCACCGACGACTTCAGCCGCCGCACCTTCTCCAGGTTGCGCAGCAGGAAGCAGTGGTGCTCCCGCGCGAAGCACCGCTGCTGGTAAGACATCGGTCTCAGCTGCGGCGCGTGCGTCAGCGTCGTGTCGCCCATCTTGCGAGACTTGCAAATGCTTTTCGAGTTCGCAGACTGCACCGTATTCGACTTGCGGACATTCTTGCGCGGCCTGCCGACCGACTTCCTCTCGGTCGTTTCCGCCTGCGACGGGAGCGCGGGGATGCTGCGCGCCACCCTCTGGCTCTTGCCACCTGCGGCACGGAATTTAGGGTGACTAATGGTAAATTTGAAGGCGAAAGCACCGGTTGCCAACTATGTATCTGCATACAGAATGAGGAAAAAGTACGGAAACTCTGAAGAATCTCGAAAAATATATTTTACAGAGAAAAGTGTTTAAAGTGGATAAAAGTTGTTAAAAAGGATTTAAAAAGTCCCATTTACTGATCTTATCAGTTTGACTTTGGATGGTGTCGCCAAGGTCAGGACAAAGTCAAGTGGAATTTTTAAAATGTGACTTAAATTTTTCATTACATATTCTTATAGCTCTTGTCGAGACGTTTTCAAAGAACTGTAATAAAGCTTCTTTTGATTAGGAATTTCCTGAGATATTTTTAAATTTATCATACTTTTTAGTATAAAATAAGAAATATCTTATAAAGTAAATGTGGGGAGGAGATTCTTTTTAAAACGAACAGAGAGCTATTCAAAATCTTACTTCAGATGGCCGAGTGCTTTTTTTATTTTACGAGACATTTCATATTTTATATTAAAAAGTATCATGACAAATTTTAAAATATTTCAGGAAATTCATACAAAGTCAAACTGATAAGATCAGTAAGTAGGTCTTTTAAACTCTACAATTTTTATCTAAAACGCTTTTCTACAAAACATATTTTTCGAGATTTTCCATACTTTTTTCTCACCCTATATTATATATTGCATGACTGTAATACGCGGGATTGATATTATTTTGTTTCAACACTGTACTGTAGACATATAATATATTGTTATCAATTTCATCGTTATTAATCTCAAATATTCTGACATTTATTTTTATCAAATTACAATATTGATTCTCTCGTTGCAGCCAATTTATGTTTTTCAATTTTGTGCGAAAGCAAAACTTTGTTAATCCAGATAATCTCATTTCATCAGAGTCCAAATCTGCCGCGAGTACAACAAAAATAATTGCCAAGAAGTTCTTTTGTTTATCGAATATATAATTTATAAAACGTTTATGAATGAATCATCACAGTCGGCTCATCCGCACGCTTTAAAATTTGCTCGTTACTTTTGACGTAATTCAGAAGCTTCTCACATCCTGCAGACGTCAATGAGAAATCTGTGCAGCTCTAGATCAGTTATACAGGGTGTCCGGGATCTTTTGGAAACAAAACATTGCGAAGATTAATCGGATCAAACTAAGAAGAAAAGTTGAGTACTATTTTGCAAAAATTGCAATAGTTATTAATGACTGAAAATGACCACATCTAGAGGTTCTTTTAATTGATAGCTTGAAAATTTGTGTACTTATTTGCAAAATGGTAAAGGACTTTTTCGTTCAGAATGACCTGATCTACAATTATATGACGGCTATTGTGTCTAGCTGTTGTAGATTAGGTCATTCCGAACAAAAAAGCTCTTTACCATTTTGCAAATTTTCAAGTTATTAATTAAAAGAACCTCTAGATTTTTAATCGTTAATAACTATTGCAGTTTTTGCAAAATGGTGCTTGATTCTTCTTCTCAACTTGATCCGATTAATTTTCGCGATTTTTCATTTCGCAAAGATCCCAAACACCCTGTATATAATTGAATTATTGAATGCCGTGCATTCCTGCAAGAGTTACAAACAGCCTGGCGGTCGTTGCACGCTCGCTATTGTGGTCTTTATTTCAAGCTCTTCCTCGTCTATCGATTTACCTATGACGCCTCTGCAGGCGCTGCTACCGCATCTACACTGCTGCCCTTCCGACGGGTTGAACAGTGCGAAATTATAGTCGTACGTCAGCTCCTCGCCCGGTTTAATATCCCTCGATGCGAACAGCGCCATGCGCGGTAACCCGTGAACACTCCATTTTTGCATCTCGCAATTCGGCTCGCATGAATGATTCACGAACCTGCCGTCGCCGCCCATGCGATGACCGTCGATCACCAGGCCGCCGTCCAAGTGCAGGCAATAGTGATGCGTGTCACTGGCGTATCTGTAATTTTAACAGGACCATTGTTCTTCCACATGCCTCTAACCCGCAGAGAGCAACCAACCCGAAGAGAGTTTGCCAAAGTAGACGACAGATTGTCGATGACGAAGAGACATGACGTCGAAACGTCGTATTAGATAAGCGACCGTACTATCTTTCCTGCGCTTCTTGTAGATCTTACATAAGCATGCGCTGCTTTGCTTATCGTACTTAGCGGAACACGCGCCTATGTGGAGATTCTCTCAAGCCTCGAAATTCAGCCGTGAAGGCGCAGCAACCTTCCTTGAAATTTTCTCTCCGAGCAGAGCGAACGCAACTTCTGCATGGCAGGCGAATGTTTACGCCAGCAGCTCAAAGTGTCAATTTAAAAGTTTCTCCTCTTTCACTCTCGTCACACAACGAGCTACGCTCCAATTCAGTTCTCTGCGCACTTTCATCGTGTCAAAGCGTTTGCAATCCTCATGCGACCGATAAGACCAATAAGTAAATTCCCCTCGCGGGAAAAAAGATCAATATTCTATCGGCAAACTTTTCAAACATCCTACTCATGCGCTCTTTTTTGTCGTACTCTTTATAACTTGTGAAAACACGGGTCAGGGTGCTTAACACAGGGTGAGTAACTCGAGCCCTACCTGGTCGCCATCCTCGACTTGAACTCCCGCTCCGACACAACTTCACCCACGTATTCGAGGATAAAGTTGCCGGACTTGATGGCCAGCTGCGTTCTCACGCCCAAGCCCTTATCCTTGGTCATGAACCTCTGCAGCCCCGGAGACCATTCGTGCTTCTGAATCTTCTGGTTCTTGCACTTCTCACCGCAAGGGCAGAGCTGCGGCGAGCACTCGCTGAACACCATGCGGTTGATGCAGTCGTCCCCGCAGCCGCTCTCCGGCTTGCACTCGCAGGCCTGCGCCTCGTACAGAGTGGTCGGCTTGACGTCGTAGTAGATGTTCGTCCGGATTTTCCTGCGGAAAGAGACACTGTTGACTCATCGACCGGGTCAAAACCTCAGAGGCTACCTCTCAGAGGGGAGAAGAAGCAGAGGTCTGGAGAAAAGAGAACGAGGGGGAAACTGTGCTCACTTGTAATTCCACGACGGCACCTTCTTCTGGCTCTTCTGCTGCGGCTGTTGCAGCTGCAGCAGCTGCGGCTGGGTCAGAGTCTGCGGTTGCCTCCGCTGCGCGTCGTTCATCCACATGTAGTGCAGCTGATTCAACATCCTCCTGTGCCGCATGGGCTTGCCGTGCGAGTACATGTTGAGCGCGGCGCCGTGCTCCATGCAGTTGCAGATAACCTTCTTGCTGTTGTAGCCGGCGAACCTGCTGTGGAAGTATTCCTTCTTCCACGTCGACTGCTTCTTTCGGCTGTGCGCCGCGCCGACCGGCTTCCTCACCTCCTGATCCTCGCTGGCCACGTCGCTGCTAGGAGGCGCTTCGCTCTCCGTGTCGTAGCCGCTCCTCAGCCTCTTCGCGCTCCTTGGGGCTCCCAAGTTGGACGGACTGGCTGAGCCCCTCCTCCTCTTGTGGTTGTTGTTGAAGCAGCCGGATAGCTCCATCTTGACGGCCGCCGCTTGGGCGTTGGCGCGCTCCAGTTTCCTCAGGTTCTCCTCGCTCAGCTCGGCGATGCGTTGGCTCTGATTGTACCGCTCCAACGACTCCTCCAGCGACACGTTCTCGTCGTAGACGCGGCAATCTTGCAGCTTCTCGTATTTCACCGGGTACAGCTTATCGGATAACACACTGCTGTCGGACTCCACGAGGTCTTTGCGCACTCTCAACTGGCCGGCACAGGTCTCGGCCACCTCGTCTGAACCGCTCCGGCTGGACGTCTCCTGCGCCGTGCTGGAGTTGTCGAAGTTCTTCACGTCCGCGCGAGCATTGCCCTTGTCCTCCGAGAGGACGTCTTCTTGAGCAGCGTTGTCCATCAAAGACATCTTGTTGTCATCCTCCGTCAGCATCAAGTCTATATTTTGATTCTTGCGGAGTGCCTTGACTACGTTTATCAACGAGCCGCTGACCGCCGGGGTGACGCCGACCGTCTCTTCCTCCTCCTTCTTCTTTTTCTTCTTCTTCTTCAGAGTGGGGAAACCCGTGCGATTGACCCGTGCCTTCCGTCGCTTCATCTTCTTCTTCGTCAGCATCATCGCCGCAGTGCTGTTCAGCGGGTTCGGCACGCTCGTGTTACCGGCGCGGGTCACCTTGCTCTCGCTGACGGTGTCAGCGTCGTCGGCAACCTCGGAGTTGGCGTTCAGCTCCAAGTCGACCTTGATGCTCTTCTCCGCGCGGACGTGCTCCACGTCGAGCTTGTCGTCCGACTGCGCCTTCTCGGCCTTCGCCGAGCGCTCCGCGGAGGCCGCAGTTTTCTCGGACTTGGCGGACTTCTCCGTGGCGGCCTTCGAGCCTTTCTCGCCGGACTTATCGAGGATACCAGCGTGACTCTCAGACACGGCCAGCTTCGTCACAGTCACGCGGAGGTCCTTGACAATCTTCTTTTTGCGACGCGGCTGTGCCTCCGACTGCGCCGCGGATTTGTCCTCGGCGAGGTCGCCGGCCTGCTGCTTGTCGGCCGCCGCGCCGTCCGCGTCCCGGAGCCTCTTCTTCGGCGTCACCGGGGTCAGCGCCTCTTCGTGGACAGAGGACGCCGAGCTACCGCCGTATCTGGTGATGGTCGCTTCGATCGCCTCCTCGATGTGGCTCTCCGTCGAGTTGGGCTCGTTCGCGCTCGCGTCCGCGCAGCTGGCGTTCGAGCTCTGGGAGCTATGCGGGCTCGACACGTGGTAGTGGCGCTTCTTCAGCGGCAGCCTCTGCTCGTTCGAGTTTGAGCTGGTGCTGGTGTTCGCGCTGCTCTTGGAGTCCGCGCCGGCGAGCACCTTCTCCTTCTTCAGCCGGCGCTTCAGCTTCTGGTCGTCACCCGCATTCACGTCGCCCTTCCTCTTCTTCGTGAGCTTCTTCACGCGGAAGATCTGCGGCAGTTCCGAGTGGTTCGCGCCAGCGTTGTTCCTGCCGAGGCTGCACGACCTCGCGAACTCCTCGATCAGCTTCTCCATCTCCTGGATGATGCACGGATTGATGCAGATCGGGTTCTTCGGCGGTGCCAGCAGTCTCCGTCGGTGCTTGTGGTGGTGGTGCTTGTGGCAATGGTTGTTGTGCGTCGGCTGCGTCGCCTTGTCGCACTTGCTGGCCGCGCGCTCCGCGTTCTCCGCCTTCAGTACGTCCCCGACCGGCAAGGAGATGAGCGTCTGCACGCCCACGCCGTTCGTCTCGAAGCTGGCAGCGCCGGTGGTCTTCTTGTTGCACTTGTTCTCCTTCAGGACGCGCCTCGTGTTGACCGACGGCGTGTTGACCGACGTCGTTATCTTCTTCGCTCCTCCCAGACCCTGCTTCTTCGGCAAGATGGTCGCCGCGTTGTTGCGATTCTCCTTGGAGCTCCTCTTGCCAGCGCCGCTCACCGGCGCCTTCTGCTCGTTGGCAACCTGCTCGCAGGTGGACGACTGTTTCTGCCGCGTCAACGGGGTCGTGGTCTTGTTGCTGGCGGGCGCGCCCGTCCTGTCCTGTCTGACTTTCCTGCAGGTCCTACCGTCGCACTGCGGCATCAGCTTGCTCGCGGCGGACCTGCTTAGGCACTTTACTCGCATCGGGACACTCGTGCTGGTCCCCGCCTTCTTCACCATCGCGGCCTTCTCCTGCGGCAGCTTCGCGGACGGGCCGTAGCGCTTCTTCTGGTACGTCGGCTTGCCCTTTATCGTCCGCTTGCTCGCGGCGGGCGCGTTCTCCTCCTTCTGCTCCCTCGACGCCTGCGCGGGCTTGTACGGCAGCGACTTGGCCTTGCCGCGTTTCCTCGCCGCGGACACCGCTTCGTCTTTCGCGCTCTTCGCCGTCGCGGTCGCCTCCTTCTTCTCCGCCTTCTCGGCCTTTTCGACGGCGACCTCCGGCTTCAGGCGCGGCCTGCCGGGCCCACGCGGCTGCATGGCCGGCACCGTCTTCGCCGGCCTGCCCGGTTTCCGTTTAGGGGGATAGAGAACGCGATCGACATTCACCGCCGGCTTCGTCACGACCGGCGGCTGAATCGGGGACTGGGTCTGCGCCAGCGGGCTCACAGGACTGATCGTCAGATGCAGAGGACTGTTATCCACCGATTGAATGCCGGAATCGGGCGACACGTTCGACACGCAGGGGTACTCCGTGTCGTTGAGCTTTTTACTCAGCTTGCTGCGCCTCTTGCGCGGCTCCGACAGCAGCGCGGTCTTTTCCACGAACTGCTGCAGCAGCGTCGAGCTGTACACCGGCACCGGGTTCTGATCACCGTTCTCGCTCGTGTCCGAGTCCGCGCCGAGCGACATGCGCTCGATCGCCTTCGACACCAGCCGGCCGCTCTCGGAGTCCTCGAAGCCGTCGAACGGCGCGTCCTCTTGCTCCTGCGGCGGCAGGATCGCCGCCAGGTCCTCCTGGTTGATCTCCTGCAGCACGTGATGCTGGTGCTGCTGCGACTGTGTCTGCTGCTGCACGTGCTGCGACGCCGCGTGGCCTGCGGACGAATCCGAGTCCTCGCTGCTGCATTCTGAGGACTAAACACGGGTTCACGTGCGTTTTTATCACGTAATCACGGCCGCGTCTCTCACGTCGGGACGGAATGATTGGAGGGGGTGATTTGAGGTCGACTCGACTTCACCGAGTGAACGCATCGCACATTAATATTGTTTAATTATTCTACCTTAGTCGGCTGAAGCGGGTTCTTCGTCGAACTAATTACCTTATTTCCGTGATTGGTTTTAAGTCTCTTCGGCACATTCCTCCTGCCCTTTTCGCACTTGACCTTCTCAGGTTCCTCCTTCTTCGGGCCTTTCATGGTGATTTTTAATTTCAATGCTCCCTGCAATGACACGACATAGAATGAATGATATTTCTGCGGGAAAGTCGGTCGGGAAGGAAGCAACAGCGAGTCTCCACGTGCCTGTTCAAAGTTGGTTTCTTGAATGGAGAATGTCTGCTCGCTGCGCTCGGAGGAGCAGTCCGAATTGGATCCACTGTCGTCCCCCTCCTCCTCGTCGCCGCTACTCTCGTCGTCGGACTCTGAGTTAGAATCTGAATAAGAGCAACTGCCTTCACTTCCACCAGAGCTTTCGTCGTCAGAATCGGAATCTTCTTCGGAGTCAGCCGAATCTGTTCCTACAAAGTTGAAAAATTGGTGAGAGGTGCTGTATGTGTGCAGGTGTCTTATGTATGTGTATACGGTTAGTGTATGGTGCGCACAAGTACCATTAGGTTCAGTAGCAGGATCCCAGCTACCGCCGCCTTTTATAGCATCCATGTCAACGGTAGAAGGGAGCTCTCTCTCTTGCTCCCCATCGTTTTCTCCCCAATTCCAAGTCTGCAATCCTATCTCTGAGGGATGGTGAATAACAACGCTCCATCCTGAATCACCAGACATTTTTCAGCTTATCTGACATCCAGCGGAATGGAATAGAATAGCATTCCTTATTCCTTTGATCACTCATCAAGCTCTCTTGACAATAACAAAAAGCATATCTTCCAGCTTTAACCTATGTGTACGTGTTTATCTAACAATCGTCACTAGTGTCACTTTTGGAACCATGCACAAGTTCGCTCGAGCCTCACAAAATACTGTAAACCTACAAAGAAAAAAATACACAATCATTAATGACTTCCCGTCTTACCAATAAGAAGGATCAATACAAAAACATTGACGATACGAAACAAGTTTGCTCACGCCAGCGGAGTATCTCTCGCAAGAAAACATGCCGCGGAGAAACAAGCGAGGAATTTTACAATTTCGCCCGATCGAGCTTGTCCGTCTCCACGCGAAGAAATCAGTCTCTTCTCGTTCCGGACGCGCAACAAAAGAATCTACAGCGACAAAATTCCAGAGCACTCGAAGCTCCCAAGCATGAATACACACACACACACACACACGCACACACACACCATACGCACGACGCAGGCACGTACGCATACATACACGCACAGCACACACATCTTCGTCACGAATTGCGCGTCAGAGGCGCGAGGAAAGAACGCCGAAAAAGAGGAGGGAAGCACCGCTGGCCCGGCGAAATTGCGCGATCGCTCGCCGAGGCGCGTCACGCGTAAACAAGGCGAGAGACGAGTCGCAACGTACGCGTGAAATCGGACCATCGTCCGAGAGCAGTTCGGCGATCTCTCGGCGGGCCTCTCTCGAGGGCCGCGGGGAAGCGTTACCTGGCCAGCGGCCGCGGCGTCGGGGGCGGCGATATCGCCTGGCGATCGGCGACGCGACGACAGCTGTTTGTTCTCGCGCTCCGCTCGTCAGCGCCAGGTGCGTCGACGGGATTTGGCGCGAAATGTCGCCGCGACGGCTCGACACGAGCCAGTGGCGCGCCACGGTGAGCGCGAGGTACGCGGCGATGGTGGCGGCGATGCGCGCTAAGGTCGCTGCGGCGCGTCCGCGACGGGCGTTCGCGTAGCGACGGCCGCGACTGCAAGCCGTTCGATGTTTATGCGCGACCACAAAATGGCGTTGCGAACGTATTTAGCGGCAAGCTGTCCGAGCGGAGCACCGACTGCGGGCCCGAGCGACGGCTCGGCGGCGGCAGTCCGGCGGCGCGCGCGACGACGCGCAACCACGGCGACGACGACTACCACCACGACGGCGACGGTGATGATAACGACGACGACGACGACGACGACGACAACGACGACGGTCGCACCGACCCCGCGCGTTGCCGCGAGTTAACGCGGCTGATTTCCCGGTACTTGCACGTCAGATAGACTCGTGTAAGCTGCGTCAAGGGCGCATCGTGCTCCGCGACTCTCTCTGTGTTGCCCCGTCCGCAGCGCCGCCGCCGTCGGCCGCTTCCGTCCGCTAGGCGATATTTACCGACGCTGACGCGTTTCCCCGCCGACTGCTAAGGTAAATGTCCCAGTGACTGGACGTTTAAACATAGGCCGTCGCACAAAAAATACGATATTAAGAAATAACAATAAGATAAAATAAAAATAAAATATAATGAAGTAACAATAAAACATAAAATAAAGAATACAATATTAAAAAATATAATATTAAGAATAGTTTTGATGTGTAAATATTTTTACATTTATTCGAAAACTCACGATTTTCTTAAGTAGAGAAAAATTATGTAGACCAATGTATATATCTATTATTAATGAAATATTTATACACAAGTCATGAAGCGCATTAATGTAGCAATAAGCGGACAGTAGTAGATTCTCAAGTAGAACAAAAAATCATGATGACATCAAAATGACAAGAAAATGACCGAATCATGATGAGAAAAAGAGCTTTCCTCATCATTTTAATGTCATCGTAATTTTCTGTTCTACTTGGGTTATGGCCCAATGTTCGGATATAATTTGTCCCAGTGTTTGACCGCAATTAGAAAATTAGTACGTGCTAACAGGAAATAATATAAATATAGACGTTATCTAATGAATTTATTAACGATTGACCATTATTTTGCCAAATAGGTGCGTACTTGTTTAATTAATTTTTATTTTAATACAAAAGTATCAAATTGTCTAAATTTTTTTCCAACTAATCGTCAAATATTGCAATTTCTTTTTACAATAATTATTACTTTCATTCATTATTGTTAAAATAAATGGTAAATATTTTTTTTTCAAAGTAATCGGATACTGGGACGTGTCCGACCATTGAGACGTTTACCTTACCTTACCTCGGAGTCTTCCTTGTCGATCATAGCTGGTGGATGAAGGTGGAGTGAGTTTTTTTAATTCACCATAGATGCGCCGCATTTTCGTCGGACAAGTGACAATGGGCTACTTGATTGCATGTTTTTTAAACAATGACTTGACGAATGAATTCAGCTGAAGTCAGTAACATTTTACGTATACTTGATCGGTAAATATCAATAATTTGATATTTGTGTGCACATATAATTCTGAAGCCGAGATTTTGCAAATTGTACAAAATTGAAAGAAATTATAAACATTCTATTTGTTATATACATATTATTTTTATATATTCGAGAGGAAAATCAGAAAAGATTCATCCTTATACATTTTTTTAATTGAATAATCCCACATAACCATTAATATTTTTAAATTGGGAAATTTTCCCCGCCATGTTTAATCGGGAATTTCATCAGTCATCGACAAAGTGAATCGATGAATCTGATGGAAATGCGATGAGAGTTCAGTAAATAAGAACGCATTGATGCAATTCATCAATGAAAAAAAGAACGCTTCGTTGCACTTGCGCTTCATGATGATCGTAATGAATCAATCGATGAATTAAAGAAATCAGCTAAAAACGTAGAAACATTGGAACGTTTTCATTTTTCACGAGTTTATGTCAGGGAAAACGATTTATGACGGACTCTTGAGGTGACCTTCGAATTCTGGTCAAGCCAATTGTCGATTAACCAATGAACTTTGGCCAATGAACTTTGGCCAAAAAAAAACTTTGGCACAAGCGCAGCTGTTGTTTGAGTCACATGATCCAAACGAGGCGAATTCCAATCGGCGAACTGGCCGCTATTGTTTCGCGCACATTCGGGATAGAATTTACTGACCATCGGTAATTTTTTCTCTCGTTTCCTCCCATTTGAATTTTCCATTATAGACTTTTCCTCGAGTCACCCTCGCCAAATTGTCGTAAATGAAAAATACTCGAGCGGGAGGCAGAAGTTCTTATAATGGGAGATTCATACCGCGTTCGAAAGGGGTTAATCATGGAAAGTGAAAATTATCCAATTTGAGATTCCAATTTGTGACCCGTAATTGCCTCAATGCACGACGATCCGATATCCAATGGGAGACTTCACTTTCAGGGTTCTTAATTAGCAATGTTTGTTTCCAGGGAACGAACTCTGCCATTGGACGTTCGAGTCGCGTGAAATAGCGGGCGCGGTGTAAACCGTCCATAACGCCTCGACGCGATTCGCGTTTCCAAAGTCGCAATGACAGCTTCGTTTCCCGCGTTTGAAAGGAACGTTCGGAAGAGTCCACCAGCTAGCGTCATCATCAAAGAAAGAAGAAGAAGAAAAGACGCGACGAGTCGGTTTGCGCTTGCAACGAACACGACAGCGGGGACAGTTGTTAATTACACGATCGCGAGGCAGCAACCGCACGGATTAGGTACGAACGGGCGCCGAGAGCGGCGCGTGAAGCGGCCGCGTAACGGCCGCGGGCGCGCGCGTGCGCGTGCGCGCGCACCGCGGCAACGCTGCGCGCGCACGGGTGCGCAGTCGCTCGGTCGAGACCGCGCGTGCATGTCGCCACAGTGGGGAGCGTACGTCGCGTAGTGGGTGGTAGTAGGGAGTAGGAATTCGGAGTCGGCAATATGGCCGGCCAGATGTGCAGCGGCAGGGTGTCACGGTGGTGTTAGTGCCGCGCGCGCAAGTGCCGTTCGTTATTTATATGTCGAACTACCGCAAGTCCTGTCCGAATCTCGCGTGTTTTCATGGGCTCGGTGATATACTGTGCAGGAGCAGGAACACGGCTTGCATGAGGGCATAGCACACGCTCACCGGCCAGACAAACATGAAGTGAGTAACACAAGTGTATATACGAAGTCTGCGGCTAGCAGGCAGGAGGCAGGCAGGCAGACCGACAGAGAGAGCATCCCAGCCGCGAAGTCGATGGACCGAGAGCGACCAAGCGAACCGCGACCGATAGAACAGCCGTGAGCTTTTTTACCTCTTTCTCTCGGTCTTTCTCTCCATCGCTCCATCTCGCTTCCTCTCTCTCTCTCTCTCTCTCTCTCTCTCTCTCTCTCTCCTCCTCTCTCTCTCTCTCTCTCTCTCGCTCTCGCGTCATTCTCCTCGCGCGACGCTTGCATTTCGCGATGTCCACCGGATGCTGAATTAGTTACGCCGTCAGCGTAAACGCGACGGTCAATAGCGCTCGTCGGTTTTGCAGTCGTCCTCTCGCCGACCCTCGTGGTCTGCGCGCTCCTCGTCGTCGAAGGCGCCGCCTTCCCGACGGCGACGACCCGAGAGACGGCGAGGAACCGAGGATCGCGCCGCGCGATATCGATCACACGCCGGGGCTGAGGGCGGCCCGTTCTCCGGATTCGTTCCTCGAGTCCCGGCTCGCCTCCCAGGGCGACCCTGGCCGTTCTTTCGCGGCTCTCCGGGGGCAGTGGCCAGCGCATAACGATTTTTGACAGCGCGCTCTCCGGCGACGTCGACGACGACAGGGCCGGCCGACCGGCCGGAAACTCGCGTTCCCGGCCGGAGGAGCTGCCTTGCCCCAAAGACGACGGATCTTGCATTCATGTCCTTTCTTCCGCTCGCGATGTCCGCCGTTCGCTCGCCCGTCCGCCCGTCCGTTCCCCACGCCCCTCCCCCCGTCGTTCCCCGCATATATGCTGCATGTCGACGGGCGTCTTACATGCATCTGCTGTGCGTCTTCAACCCTGAGGCTCCCTCTCTCTCTCTCTCTCTCTCTCTCTCTCTCTCTCTCTCTCGTCTCTCTCGCGGCGCGCGGTACCGCTAACTCGTTCCTGCGTTCGCTCTCGCCGTCGCCCCGTCGTGAATAGCCGACGTTTCTTCGGACGTCGAGGAAGTGAATGCCGCGTGCGCCGCGCGAGGGAACATATGCATTGTCATGGTAATGCGCGTCGTCTCCAGGCGTCTTCCAGCCTCGACGTGTCCTTGTCGCTCGCGCTCGCTCGCGGCTGCAGGTAACAGTCCCCCCCCCCCCGCCCCCCGTCCGCCCGCCGGCCTGCCTGTCTTCTCAGCGCGAGTCGTCCTGTTCGCGAACAACCGTTGGTCAGCGTTAACGCGCCGAAGGTCCTTCGCCGACAGGACCTCCGCGATCTCGCCAGGACGTGACGTAATCGATAACGCCGGGTTTACACTGTTTGCGATTATGTTTACACAGCAGCGGGGCTCTTCCTCGCGACCTGCGACCTTCCCGCGTTCAATCGGAAGATTGCTTCTCCTTCGCACAGGATACGCTCTTCTGCTGGACACGGGACGCGCCGCGAGGCTCATCGGAGGAAGTGCCGCGGCCGCGGTCTAATCAGCTGACTGTCCTGTATTTTAAACGAAATGTTCAATCGACGCCGTCGCTGACGCGCTTTTTCACGCATCGGCAACAATGCGCTGAAAGTTACATATTAGACGACGCGTCCTTTTGATTCGCTCCTTTCGTATTCCTCCTTCGTGCTTTGTTATTCCGTGTGATATTGAATTTTCCTTTGCCCCCTTTTTTTTATCACGTGAAATAACATCCCACGTGAGTAAAAAAAGCGCAGCTTGCGAAAGTTACGCGCATCTGTCTGCCACATGAGCATTGAGTCTCGTTAAGTTACGTCAAGTTACGTGCGAGGCAAAACTCACCTCGCTGTCGATTGTGCCAGGACTCTCGGGTATCCAATCTCGGAGAGATCCTCGCGCAGAAGTAATTAATCGCGAGCGTTCTACCGCGCGCGAATATTTCTCTTTTCGGCTTTTCTGAATATTTCTCCGCGTTCGGATAATCAATTGCACGCGAAGAGAGACTCTTTCACACACGGTCGACAGGGAGCCGGCGAAACAAAGCGAAGGGGACGCAGGCGTCTCCTTGCGTCTACTCGCCGTCTCTTCGCCGCAACTCGATCGTCGGCCGAGCTTTCGCACGACCGGTGGGACGATCGCCGCGTTGAATTTAACTTGAATTTAAAAAGCAACTTCATGCGGGGCCACTGTCTATTGTATCTTGAGGTTATTGTAGTGTAAAAATGTTACTTTAGCGTCATGTTTTACGCGACGTTCACTGCTTGGAGCAAATTCTGGGGTAAACTTCCTGAAATCTTCCGATTGCTTTGGATTTCACGCCAGAAGTAGAGGAGAAGGTAGTGTTATGGTCCTTATAA